CACACTCGGACGAAGCTGAGCTGGCAAACTTGGAAGAGGAGCTTTTGTGTCGCGGCGCGTCCGATTTGCTGCTGCTACGCATGGCGAGTGCACCGCCGGAAATGGAATTCCACGGAATCGACGAGAAGCACCTCGACCTGAACGCGGCGCCGACGAGTCCTTCCGACAGCCCGCCAGCCACGCTCACTCAGTCTTCGGACGACGGTTCAGTCCAACTTCCTCGATTGACGAACCGCACTTCGGATTCCGATCAGTTCCTTCCGGGCAGTGGCGCCGCGGAGACGAGTCACAAGCGGAAGCGATCCGCGCAGCAGCAGACGAAGACGTGTCTGAAATGCGGGAAGAAATTTGCGACCGGTCAGGCTCTTGGAGGACACATGCGGAAGCACTGGAATGGATCCATTCGAGTGCAGACGAAGCAGCTTCTTGCGGAAGTGGGACCTTCGAGGACCAGTAGTCCGGCGCACAGTGGGAGCCACAGCCACGAGTCGGATCTCGCCTCACCTGAGCACGATGGCAAGCAGAGGCGGGCCAACGAAGCGGAGTCGACTGCGAGGCCTCTTGTGATCGCTGACATTGATCTAAACCTGAAAATATGAATACTGATTAGTTAAGAGGACGCTTACCGTATATGGACTGAGGGTCCTTGTAGTATAGGTGTTCATAAGTGAATTAGCATCAGTGTGGAATAACTAGTCGTCAATCTGTTTCTCTGGGATGTAAACACCCCCATATGGTGGTTGATGCTGTAATATAGATGTCACTCCCAATCAAGTTCACTGCAGGTAGTGTACAGGGCAGATGTTAGCGTACAGGGCTTTATCAACCAGCTGCGGGAATACAGGTAGCAGCAACATAGCTTGCTTATTTGGCAAGGCAGGAATCAGCTGTGATTAGACCAGCAAATGTGCTGGTCCAGCTGGCCCTGGGCATCACACTTCCAAATTCAACGCTAACCATGCATCCACCTTCCACCTGAGTTGATCCAACCGAGTGCTGCCCATTGAATGTCACCTGTCAACTCCCCAAATGGTTAACTCCTCTTTCTTCACCAAGGGCCTCTTGCAGGGTACCACCAGGTCAACCGCAGACTCATGATAACATGCACGGACGGAGCTCTGTTCTCAGCTGCATTGAACCAACTCGTCTAATGGTACAAGCCTGATGGCTGGTGTAGCTATTTATCGATCTTTGGCATCACGTGTCACAGCCTCAGGTCCAAATCTATTTCTTTGGCACCCACTTCCTTCTCCAACTCCATCGATTCATCTGAGTACCGCCTGGTGAGTTTCAGCTGACCCTGCGCAGGCGACTTATGGCCGTGTTTGCTCTCTTGGCCACCAGTGCTCTTGCTCACACCAAGCGAGTCTTTCGAGTGCCGAGATAAATGCTCCGGCCTTTTTGGGCCCTTCCAGTGTTTTCGCATGTGACCGCCAAGTGCCTGCCCGGACATAAAAATTCTTCCACATTGGGGACATCTCTTGCTCCGTGATGATCTTTCCTGCTGCTCAAAGCCAAGACTATCCAGGAGATCACCACCACCAATCATGTCCCCCACTCCACCAATGTTGATCCTGGCTACCTCATTGGCTGCTCGAAGCCCCATGGCAAGCGATTCACTGTAGCAACCCCTCTCTGCTGCCACGTCAGCTGACGAGGAGAGACGCGCCAAAGACGCGACGCCGGATGGAGGGGACGAAAGACGTCCGCCAATGGTGACTGGGCCAGGAATCACGGAAGGCATTGATTCCCAGGAATTGCCGCGCTGCGCGTGCAAGAGAAGCTGTTTCCGGAGGGACGCATTACCTCCAGCCTCCGGCGGCTCAGGAACTGGCGACCTGCGATTCGGGATCTCGTTCTGCCCGCGGTTCACACGACCTGCGACGTTGGATGATGAAATCGGGGCCCTCTCGCGTCTCCCTGCAGCCACATTCGCCGCGTGAAGCACGGCGCCCGCTATCAGCGCAGCAGCTGCTACCGCCGCGGTAGCGTTCTGCTGCTGTTGGTTCAGCGGCGATCCCGCCTGGGACGACTGGCTCGCTTCGCGCGCGGAGACCGGCGGCTGTAGCGGCGCCGCCATTGGCATCCACTGTCGCTGCGGAGCTTTCGCGACTCGCGGACCGATTGCCGGTGGAGACCCGTCACTCGTCGCAGCGCGGGATAGCCCGCCCGGTTGGTCGTCAGGCAGCCGAGGCGCGGTAGCATCGAAGGCGCCGTTGGATACCGCCCCGGTTTCGGTCTCTCCTGAGGACGCTGATGCGGCGGCGACGGCGGCGGCGGGGGCGGCGGGGGCGAAGGAAGGCTTCTCGGCGGAGCTGGCGCGATCTTGAAAGCGCAGCAGCGGCAGCGGGTGGAGAAGGGGCGTTGTCTGAGTCGGCGTGGCCGTGGTAGCGGCTGTAGCAGCTGGTGCCGCGTTCTTCAAGCCGAGGAGCAGCTCTAAGAGAGGAGAGTCTGCGGTGCGGTCGACGAGAGGAGCCATGGCTCCGTGAGTCACGGGTAAAGCGCGATTTTTTTAAGTCAGGCGAGGATAACGTGTGAGCCTGCTGTAGGCAGTGTACTGCGCGCGACGGAGAATGTTGAGCGCGGTCGCTGAGAGAGAGGCGCGTCCAGGTTACGAGCGAGGAATATAACTTGTATGCGCTGCGGAGCGCTGTCAGCCCTCTTATAAACGCCACGGCTGGAATTTCGGATTGCTGAAGCGAGGAAAGCGAGAATGGGCTGAAGCACGCCATGCTGAGGCGTGGCGATGGGAGGCATAGGCCAGTGGCATTAGAGGTGGAGGCAATGCTTGTCAGATCAGCGTGGTGTGCGGGTAGCACTCGCAGCCACATGTGAGGTGAGTGGAGAGAGAAAGCAACACGCACACACACACTCACCACTGTGAAGGCCTGGCCGCTGCTGCTGGGGAATCTTGGCTCCATTTGTCCTGCCCCCACTCCTCACCACCATCAGTTCAACACGACGGTTTGTCCTGCTGCTCTGTGGATTTTGTCCTGCTGCTCTAAGCGATGTAGCTGATGATAGGTGTAGCGGAAAACATTCTTTACTGCAAGAAAATGCTGAATTATTCGATACAAGCTAAAGCGTGGGTGAAATGCACCGTAGTTCTCGAACTGTAGCGATAACTGTAATTCGTCTAAGTGCAGTACACTCAACACCTTCCATGTGATCCATTCCATCTCGGGTCCGGCCATGGGTAGCCAGGCTGTCTGGGAATCTGCTCAACGTGTGTGAATTGGCTGCGAGGTTTGAGTGGTGGGACAAATCAAAGCGTTATTGACAGTACAGACTGTTCAGACTGAGCTGGCGCGGTAGTGTGCGAATGTTTACAGCTCCACAGTTCTCTCTGGAAAATCGACGACACAGCGGGCAACCCAAGTCAGGAAAAAAAGGGGCAATGGCCTTTCTGAACAAGGGGCTCGAGAAGCCAAACGAGTGAAGGTATTTCAAGCCATGAACCCTCTTGGTTTGAAATGTACTGCATGACTGGGTCGTGAAGGGCTCCGCCAACAAAGCTGGCGAAAAGCTACACGCCATGCACAGAACGCTATGTGCTGGGCAACGGGCCGTGAACAGAAGGCAACTCCCGTGGGATTGCAGCAGAAAGGACAAGTCCAATCTCTGGGCCTGTCGCCACAGGCTCAGTCGTGGAATTCGTTGTCCATCCATAGTCATGTACGCTTTTGAAGGTGTTTCGAAGTTGGCATCAAAGTACGGACGAATGATGCACAGCTCGCCTTGAATCATATCGGACTAATCGCCAGACAACCATATTCAAACGCACTAAAGAAAAAACCTTAGTCTCGTGCATGCTATTCCCAGACAAAGCAATCCGGAACCCAGGAGCAATCCCTAACTGATGCTCGCCATTATGTGCTTCCCATAGTTTTGTGGTGCTTGCTGCCCCTGGAGCTGCCATTGACACCATCTTCCTCATTCGGAGTGCCATTCTCCTCCCGCAACCGACGGCGAGAAGGACCCTGCGCACCAACAGTGGCATCAGAAGAGGTGGCACCAGCCATCCCCGGAGGCTCTTGGCATGCAGCAGCAGCCCTGTGCCGTCCAGATGCTTCGTCCTTATTTGTGGTGTGTGGCTGCGCCGAGTGCAAGTGTTTCTGGTGTTGCTCCTACAAACAGGCGATGCCGTGCAGCGCAGACATGCATGAACACAGTCAAAATGGCACAAAACGAAAGAATGAGGTGATAGCATGAGATGTTGGCGATAGCACTAAATGATAGACCAGTGCACCACTGCTCACACCAATGCACCCCCACACACACCCACCCCCCCCCACCCCCACACACACCCACCCCCACTCATCCCAACCCCCCTGATACTTAGACACACACACCTACACCCACCCATTCACACACGATCAATCACAACCACACCCGCACGCGCACCCACTCACTTCCACACACCCCAGCCAACCCCATCCCTGTACCCACACCCACACCCAGGCTCACCCACACACCTACCCACCCATGCAGCACCAACCATCTGCCACAGCCACCAGTAGCACACTGAATCACAATGACAGGGCACTGAGAACGTACATGCACGCACCCCTGACATCATGCTTCCTACCCCTCCTACCTCTCTGCCTGTCCTCCTTGACCTCCCGCTCCGATATGCTTCCGACAGCCCCTCTTGCGGCGCCATGTGGCCCTGTGCCACGTCATCGGCCTCCATCACCCTCTCCCACTCCTTTGCTTCCTCCTGCCAGCAGATAAACATAAACACCATGCCATGCCATGCCATGCCATGGCATGCCATTCCATGCCATGCCATTCCACACGAAAGGAAGTGGGAAGGAGGGAATTGCTGCCAGCAGTATCAACACACTCAACGTCCGGCCATGATAGCAGCAGTCATGCAAACCCGCAAAAACCACAACAATGTTTAAACTCCACCTCTCCCTCTCTCTCGTGACCAGCTCCAAATCACCTGAATACCTCTAAACGCCTCTCAACACCACTCAACACCTGTACTATGCACCTCATTCAGTTTTCCGGCACCAACTCACCGGACTCAGCTTTCCAGCGGCAACAGCAGCTGAAAGAGCCTTGCCTCTCTCCTTCACAGACGTGCCTCCCCCACCACTGGACCTCACAGCTCCACCCGCCCCACACCCCTCTGCCCCACCCGTACTCCTGCTTGCTGCCCCGCCTCCTCCTCCCACAGCCCGCGTTGCTCCCTCTCGACCTGCCCCTCCCAGCACTCGCCTCAGGGCGCCAAGGCCTTGCCCCAGCACACTCCTTAGCACGCGCTGCTGCTGCCGTGACTGCTGCTGCGATTGCTGCTGAGATTGCTGCTGTTGCTGCAACTGCTGCTGCTGCTGCGCCTGCTGTTGCTCCTGTTGTGACTGCTGTTGCTCCTGCTGGTAGGGAGGGTTTGTTGGCTGCTGCTGCTGCTGCTGCTGCTCTTCTTCCTGCTGCTGCATTTCTCTGTCCTCTCCATTTCCTTCCACCACTCTTCTCTGGTCCCCAGCATCCACTGACCTATCCCCGCCCCCCTCGCCTGCTAGCCTCCCTAAGCCTGACAGCACACCACTCAAGCCTCCCATCCCTCCCAGCAGCGCCTCAAGGCCCCCTGCTTGCACCCCCGCCCCTAATGCCTGTGCGCCAGCCCCCCCAGCCTGTGGACCCGCCCCCCCTGCTTGTGTCCCCGTCCCCCTCTCTATGCTTCCCCCCTGCGCCTGCACCTCCCCCCCTGCGCCCGCCCCTGGCAGCAGCTGGGGGCGCATGACCATGGTGGGGAAAGGGCCAGACCCGCCCACAATTACCACATTTGCAGGAAACTGTAGCAGCGGCTGCTGCCCTGCAAACCATGCCTGCTGCTGCTGCTGGTGTTGCAGTTGTGTAGATTGCGCTTGCTGCTCCTCCTGTTGCTGCCTCCCCTGTGCCTGCACTTCCTGCTGCTCTCTCTCCTCCCTCCCCGCACCCTGCCCCTCCTGCTGCTCTCGCCTCTCCTGGATCTCAGAACCGTAATTTGCCCGCCGCTGCTGCACCTCCTGCCCCTCCTGCCCCTGCTGCACCTGCTGCTGATCATGCCCCTGCGCCCTGTGCCCGCGCCCCTGCATGTGGGAGTTGTATTCAGCCAGAACCTGCTGCATGTGGAACAGCCGTGCTGCTGCCCTCACCTGCTCCACAAGTGACCCCCCCTGCCCCTGCCCCTGTCCCTGCCCCTGCCCCTGCCCCTGCCCCTGCCCCTGCCCCTGCCCCTGCTCCTGCCCCTGCTCCTGCTGCTCCTGCTGCCCCTGCTGCCCCTGCCCCTGCCCCTGCCCCTGCCCCTGCCCCTGCTCCTGCTGCTCCTGCTGCTCCTGCTGCCCCTGCTGCCCCTGTCCCTGGCCCAGTTGCTGCTGTCCCCCCTGCTGCTGCTGTCCACGGGCAGCAGTAGCATCATCATCAGCACCAGCACCAGTACCAGCAGCAGGGCGGTTGGCAGCAGTGGTGGCGCTGTCAGCTGGAGGGCTAGCACGGGCAGCAGGGCGAGACGGGTGGGTGCGAGGGTGGTGCACGGCGAAAGCAGGGAGGCCAAACAGCCCCACGTGCACTCCCCCTGGGAGAGAGAAACTCGCAACAGGAGCAGATGGCGCTGCTGCTGCTGCTGCTGCTGCTGCTGCTGCTCCTGTGCCTGCCGTTGCTGGTGCTGTTCCTGCGGCTTCTGAGCTTGCTTCTGTTGCGGTGCGTGCTGTTGCTGCAGATTGCTGCTGGCCTCCAAACAGAGGGAATCTGATGCTCCCGCCCATACCTCCCCCACCTCCGCGCCCTCGCTCCGCCCCCCCACCTCTCGCCCCCTCCATGCCAGCCACACTTGGTGCCTGTGCCCGCAAGTGCATCTGCTGCAGCAACGGCAGTTGCTGGGGGAGGGAGGCACGGTGGGGAGAGAGCGGGGGGCAGTGACAGATAAAGACAGGAAGCAAGGTGAGTGCAGGTGAAAGGCGATTGAGAGGAGTGCCGAATTGGGGCGGAACATAATGGAAACAATATCACAAACGAACAACCAGCAAGAGATAACAAAGACCCTCCTCGGCCCCCCTCTCCACCCCATTTTCCCCACCTCCCTCCACAACCCAGAACCCAATACCCAGGAACCAGACCCAAATACCCAGAACCCAATACCCAGGACCCAGACCCCAATACCCAGAACCCAATACCCAGGACCCAGAAGCAAGGACCCGAGTGAGCGCACATGGGTGAAGAGAGCACTGGGCCCTCGGGCAGTGATGAAGACCGGTGGCACAGGGGACAGGCGCGGGCCGTGCTGCTGCCCACTGCTCGCACCAGCACCAGCAGTTGCACCAGCACTGCCGGCAGGAGCAGCAGCGGCACGAGCTGCAGTACCAGAAGCAGCAGCGGTGACACCAGAGGCAGGAGGGCGAGCAGGGGCGGGCAAGTGCAGCGCGCGGCAGAGGTGGGAGAGTTCGAGCAGCAAGGGCGCCATGAGGGTCACACACCGCACCGTGCCCTCCACTGCCTCTCTCATCGCCGCCTCCGCTGCTGCTGCTGCTGCTGGTTCTCCTCCTTCTTCTCCTCCTGCTTCTCCTCCTGCTTCTCCTCCTGCTTCTCCTCCTGCTTCTCCTCCTGCTTCTCCTCCTGCTTCTCCTCCTGCTTCTCCTCCTGCTTCTCCTCCTGCTCCTGCTCGTGCCCCTGATGCTCCTCCTGCTGCTGCTGTGCCTGCTGTTCCTGAGTCACTCACAGCAGCAGCGCCCACAGGCGGCAAGTGCTCCAGCTGATCTGCGAGGTTCTGGCCAAGCAGCACAGGGCATGGGAGGGACGGGGGAGGATGGGGGGAACGAGCCACGAGTACTGCATCGCTGGCAGCCTGCTGGCACTCTGGCAGACAGCGGTTTTTGAGGCGCCTCAAATGACGCTGGCAGCCTGCTGGCACTCTGGCAGACAGTGGTTGGAGCATGGAGCAGGCATGACACATTGGAGGCCTGACTGGTTAGATGGACTGCTACCCAAGTCACGACTCACGATCATGCTCACATAAAGCAGAAGCAACGAATCCCGATATCAAAACGGGGCGAGGGAAGGGCGGGAACTGACGAGGAGGGAGGAGGAGAGGGGGCCGGTGAGGAGGCTGTTGGAGCGCCTGAGGGTGGCCGCCAGGCGCTGCAGCGATGGCAGCTCCCTCCTGGCTACCGCTGCTGCTGCGGCTTCTGCTGGGTCCACTGGGAGCAATGAGGCAGGGGAGGAGAAGACGCATGGTTGCAGCTATTGCGGAACAGAGCGGCTTGAATCCTTCAAACACTTCACACGCCCATGAAGTGTGCTAGTGAGCAGTGTTCAAATCCCACCTGGCAGACAGCCATGCCAGCCATGTGCTGTTCTCACCTGACGGCCTCAGCTGACCCTCCACACGTGATATATACTCGTCCACCGTGGAAAGAGCGTCTGTTCGCCCTGCATGCCTCGCCCCTTGCTGCTGCTGCTGCTGCTGCTGCTGCTGCTGCTGCCGTGCACCCCGCTCCTCCTGCTCCTCCCCATGCTGCCTCAGCCCCCCCATCCCCCCTGGCCCCATGCCGCCAAGAGCCATCATGAGAGGCAGGCCAGCAACTCCCATGCTGCCGCCCACGGGGATGGGGAAGCCGCCCAGGGGAATGCCCACCGGCACAGCCATGCCGGCTGGCGCTGCCATGCCCATCACTGATGGCATGCCCATGTTTGCTCCCATGCCTGCTCCCATGCCTGCTCCCATGCCTGCTCCCATGCCTGCTCCCATGCCGGTTCGGATGCCTCCCATGCCCGGTCCTCCCATACCCATGCCCGGCCCTGCCATGCCAACGGGTATGTCAAAGCCACCCACAGGCAGCCACGTGTCCATGTGAATCTGTACCTCTGGCATCCCGCTCCCTCTACCCTCTGCCCCTTCCGCTCCCTCCCTTCGTTCCCCAGCTTCACCCCCCGTTCGCTCTGTCCCTGCTCTCTGCTCCCCTGCTTGCTCTTCTTCCGCCCTTCCTCCCCCATCCCTGCCTGCACCTCCTTCCGCAGCAGCAGCAGCAGCATCGGTGGTGTGAGCGTCACGGGCAGCATGAGTGTCTGCAGCAGGGGAGGAGCGTCTGAGAGCCTGAGCGGCTCTCATCTGGGGGACACACATGGATGGACGTGAGGCAACGCAAGGTGAATGAGCCGCAGGGAGGTGTGGAAGGGGGAGCGCAAAAAAGAGGCACACTTGAGCTGAGCTCAGCTGTCAGTTGAACACGGCTTCACTTAGATGCTACTTGGAGAATGCGTGCTGGCATGGAGAAATGACATGAAACATGGCGTACCGAGATGGGGGCGATGTCAATCGTGACATTCGCAGTGGGACCTGCTGCCTCGCTTCCACCCCCCACCACTCGCCCACCCCCTGCTCCCCCCCCTCCTCCCATACCTCCCCCCATGCCTCCCCCCATGCCTCCCCCCATGCCTCCCCCCATGCCTCCCCCCATGCCTCCCCCCATGCCTCCCCCCATGCCCCCCAGCCCCAAGGCTCCAAGGCCAATGGAGGACAGCACACCGGACACGATCTGATGGGCGCAGGGGCGAAAGGGGAAGGCGGAGAGCGAAGGCGGAGAGGGAGTGGGGAGAGGGAAGGCGGAGAGGGAGTGGGGAGAGGGAAGGCGGAGAGGGAGTGGGGAGAGGGAAGGCGGAGAGGGAGGGGAGAGAGGGAGGGGGGAGGGGCCGGATTTCAGATGAAATGGAACAGACAGTGGAATGAGAGGGGTTGAATAGCGACGGGAGGGGCGTGATAGGAGGGAAGTGGAACGGATGATACAAGAAGGAAGGGAACGAGAAGGGGAGTGGAAGAAAGAACGGAAGGAAGATGCGGAGGGAGGATGCGGGAGAGTGATTGCAGAGATGATCAACAAGTCGCCATAGGAGTGTGCCACGTGGTTGCACCCACCACACCCATCACACCCACCACACCCACCACACCCACCACACCCACCACACCCACCACACCCACCACACCCACCACACCCACCACACCCACCACACCCACCCTCCCACCCACCCACCCACCACACCCACTCACCCACCCACCCAAAACACCCACCCGCCCACCCACCCGCCCACCCACCCTCCCACCCACCCTCCCACCCACCCACCCACCCACCCTCCCACCCACCCGCCCACCCACCCTCCCACCCACCCACCCACCCACCCTCCCACCCAGCCACCCGCCCACCCTCACGCACATACCTGGTTTAGGTCCGGAAGGCCCTGAGAGCCGTCCGATGGGAGATTAAACGTGCCCAGATGAACGGTTCCAGAGGCAGGCAGGCCGCCAATCTGCACGTGCCCCAACCCTCCCCCAAACCCTCCCCCCGGAACGATCCGTATCCCCCCCATACCGCCGCCGCTACCCCTCTCCCCCCCTGCGGCGGCCCTCATCTGCCCACCGCGCAGCACCCGTGACCTTCCGCGAGTCCCCTCTTCTTCCGCGCGTGCGCCTCTTGGGGAGGAGTTCCCCGTGAGGCGCGAGACCAGGTGCACCACTTGGCCCGCGCTGATGCCTGGGGAAGGAAAAGCGGGGGAACGGCGGACGGGGAGAGGAGGGGAGTACGGGGAAGGGGAACAAGCGGAACAAGAGGAACGAGGCGCAGGAGGAGGGTGGCTATCTAGATGTGTGCCATGCCTAGGCACAAGCGAACAGCCTTTCCAGCTAGCAGCAAGCATGACAGGAGCGAAGTAACGAAATAAGATCCTAAAAACAATATTCTACAAGACGAGAGAATCCGAGGTGAAAAGCGGTAGGACGAGAGAATCCGGGGTGAAGGATGGTAAAATGAGAGAATCCGGGGTGATGAGGGCTAAGACGAGAGAATCCGGGGTGAAGGGGAGTAAGACGAACGAATCCGAGGTGAAAGGGGGTAAGACGAGGGAATTCGGGATGAACGGGGGTAAGACGAGATAATCCAGGGTGAAGAGGGGTAAGACGAGGGAATCCGGGGTGAAGGGAGGTATGACGAACCGTAGGATGCGAGGGTCTGATCGTCCTTGAGAACCTTCCCACGGAAGACCAATCGCTGACTGCCAGCTGGAACCTGCACCTGCGTGGAGATCTTCTCCTTCAACGCGCTCACGAGCAGCTGCGGGGGGAGCGGAGAGTGGGAGGCGATGCGCGGCGAGGGGGAAGAGGGAGAGGTGAGGGGATAGAGGCGAGGAGAGAGAGAGGAGGGGAGAGGAGGCGTAAAAAAAAAGCCGTTTAGGCGCTGATCGAGGATACAGCGGGGAAGATTGCACGAACAGCAGACACGGGAAGACAAGGTAAAGATGTCAATAACGCTACTAGCTGACAGAAGTCGACTAGGTGCGACCGAGAGGAGTTGATAAGATTAAAACTCGTTGACCGAAAACAATTTCAGACTCGTCTCATTTCGAACAGGAAACAGATTCAACGACGATCGACGAACGGTCTTGGTCGGACTCGCATGGATCTCAGACAGCGGGTGCGGAACGGGACGGTCAAGAGGGTCAAGAGAACAAACCCATCAGCTGCTCCTCGGACCCAGATAGAGCGATAGATCACCCTACACTAGAACGCAACGTGACAATCGCCCTACAGTTGCACGCAACGTGAAGATCAGCCTACGCTAGCACGCACCGCGAGATCCACGCGGACGTCGTAAGTCCGGTTATCGAGAGTCTTGATCGTTATTCCCACTTCGCTCCGACTTGCGCCGTCAGGAAGAGGCAAGTCGACATCCATGGCTATCGAAAGTGCACGAAGAATCCCTAATCCCGAAACTAAGTCGTCAATACGGGATGTAACTCGAGAGAAAGCTTGTGAGAAGCTAATGCAAGGTTAGTTGCTGAATTCAGTGCTGAAGGCCAGGAAAGCTGCAGCTCTTTGAAGCGAAAGTTGGGTATTTTTCTACCGCACCCAACCGCATCACTGCGGTGCAACTTCTAGGGAAGCGGACCTGAAAAAGCAGAACCAATCAGTGCGTTGACGCGCATGACCGTCTGCATGACGAGCACACAGAGGCCGCCCCGCCACATGTATGAACGGCAGCACCCTCGCGAAATTCTATTGAGCGCTAAAGTGTATACATGTTAGCATTACTGCGTTAGCTACTAAACTTCTAAGATGCTTTTTCTTCCGGTCAGGCAGGTAAACCTGGCTCAAACTGAAGAAACGCAGAAAGTTTACAAAATCTTGTTTCTTATGTCCTCTAGCTTCTTGAGAATCTCTCCTGGCGTGCGATCAAGCTCCTCCGCTATCTTCTTCTGCAGCTCCAGCGAAAGCGACGGAAATTGCTCGCACAAGTCCCCATCGATCACATCCTGGGAGCGAGGCAGAACACAAAATATAACAGCGCAACGGACAAACATGAGCCACCCATTTTTTCACTTGGGCAGATCCAGTTGACCAGGTCACATGGGAGATGTAGAACAAAGGCGAATTGGCAATGCAGCAGCGAAGCAGGGGTGGCTGACCTTGACAGGGAAGTAGGCGGATCGATAGGCAACGTGCTCGCGGCCGGCGAGGGGAGGGTGCTCCTGGCGCAGGTGCATCTCGAGGTGCGAGAAGAAATCCACGTCCTCCCGCGAGACAAAGGGCAGCAGCGCCCCCACTCCCCCCAGCATCGTGCTGTAGATCACACACTCGCTGCCGCCTGGGGGGGGAGAGAGGGAGGAAGGGGGAAAGCAGGACGGGACGTCCTTTGAGGCGATACAAAGGGCAGCAGCGCCCCCACTCCCCCCAGCATCGTGCTGTAGATCACACACTCGCTGCCGCCTGGGGGGGGAGAGAGGGAGGAAGGGGGAAAGCAGGACGGGACGTCCTTTGAGGCGATACAAAGGGCAGCAGCGCCCCCACTCCCCCCAGCATCGTGCTGTAGATCACACACTCACTGCCACCTGGGGGGGGAGAGAGGGGATGGGGGTGGGATAGAGCAGACAGCGGGGGGAAAGCAGGATGGGAAGAAAAGGACGATACTTGCAGGATGGCACATGGGAAGTAGACGAACTTGAGAAGCACCAAGCAGCATGGGAGAAGCAGAACGTGAGGCACTACTCGAACTCAGGCTGTGTGGTGTGCCCCTCACCTGGAATGAGGGACGTCTTCTGCATGGCAGTGACGATGTCCCCCACGTGGAACTGAATCACCTGGTGGGGCATGGCCGGTCATTACAGTGGCAGGCAGGGGTTGGAAAGAAGGAAGGTGTATGTGGAGGGTGAGGTGAGACGCGTCACGGCAGGCAGGCAAGGCTCAGCATGGCGGCAGCAGCAGCAGCAGCAGCGGTAGCAGTAGCAGCACCTCACGACGGAGTGTATCAGGTCATCAGAGCATCACGGAATGCAGCAAAGCAGGGAGGCACCGACCGAGAGGACGCCTGACACACACCTGCTCAAGCTTGTTCGGCGCTCCGTTCAGCCGCCCTCCCCCCACAGCGTCCCACTTCACCCGCCCGCCAGTCTGATCCTCCTCAATCTCCTCGGAGATCTCCCCCGGCAGCCGCACGAGGCACACGTTGCCGAACTTGTCCCCGCCCGCCATGGTGTCAAAGTCGATGCGGAGCGCTGACGTCAGCCAGCGCGGGGTGACGTCGTCTGCGAACACGTACAGCTGGTTCTCCTGCCGGCTGTGCTGCAAGTAGTGGAACGACTGGGGGGTGGGGGGGGAAGCAGGGGTGTGGGGGAGAATGGCAGAGGCGGAGGTTGAGAGGCCTCAAGGGGTGACGTCGTCTGCAAAGACGTACAGCTGGTTCTCCTGCCGGCTGTGCGGCACATAGTGGAACGACTGGGGATCACAGGGAAGGCAGGAGGGTGTTTGGAAGGTTGGGGTTAACGTGGGGGTTGGGGAGAAGGGGGGTGCAGCGAGGTGTAAAGCGGTCACGTCGTCTGCAAAGACGAACAGCTGGTTCTCCTGCCGGCTGTGCTGCACGTAGTGGAACGACTATCACAGAGGAGGAGAGGGGGGAAAGAGGGGGTCAGGATGGGAGTGGCACCCCCACTCACTCATCACAGATGTACTAATGGCACACCTCTTAGACCCGCCCAACTCCTGCATTGCCTCACCTCCCCCCTCCCCTGCATCCCCCCTCACCTCCTGCACGTCGCCCACGTAGATGCGATCGCCGCACGCGTGGATGCTCACAATCGCACTGACTTGCGTTGACTCACCTTCTGCATCAACTCACCACCTTCCCCCCTCACCTCCTGCACCCACTCACCTCCTGCACCGCCTCACCTCCTGCATCCACTCACCCCCCCCCCCCACCCCCCTGCATATTAGCTCACCTCCTGCACGTCGCCCACGTAGATGCGATCGCCGCACGCATGGATGCTCACGATGGCATGCGGGAACTGCTTGTTCTCGCACTTCCTCAGCAGCTTCTTCTTCCCCAGGTCATATATCCGCAGCACATTCCCCACGCCCACCAACAGCCGCCCATGGAACGCACACAGGGCAGTGGGCACCCCTCCTTCCACCGCCGTCTTATGCACCAACTCCAACTCCCTCCCGTCCTCTCCCTTAAACTTATACACATGCAGGAACCCTCCCAAGAGGTTCCGCTTCGGCCAGAACTGCAGGGATTTTGCCGTGCCGACAACAAGATACTGCCCTGCTGCCGCCCCGCCCTCGGTTTTATCCGCATGGAAATTCACAGTGCAGAGGGAGAAGGCTGCCTCGCTGTCTGTGAGCTCCATGAGGCATGTCGTCTCGCCTGCCTTGGGGTTGATAACCCGAATGCACGATGCCCATTTGGATGGGACCGTTTTCGGGTATCCGAATTGCTCGTCCGGTAGCGGGTCTTTGGCTTTCTCGTCCTCCTCCTCTTCCTCCTCTTCCTCCTCCTCCTCCATCCCCTCCTCCCCGTCCTCCCCTCGGGCCCCTCTCGCTGCTCTCGCAGCCTCCTTCCTCTCCCGCCTCTCCTCCTCCATCCGCTCCGCAGCTCCCGTCACTTCAATTGCTTCCTTCCTTAGCTCCTCCCTCTCTTCCGCCGAGAACGCGCCCTGGTCGCTCTCTATAGTCACGATGTTCTTAAAACGCGGATGCAGCACAGCCTTGCGCGGGGTGTACCTTAGCGGAATCACCGTCTGGTTAAAAACCTCTCCAAGCCTTTCCACCGTGAAAACCCGCAGCGTTTCCCCCGCCACTGCCACAATACCTTCCGGACACTGATCCGAAGCGAACGGAGCAGCATACTCTAAAGCCTCATAGGACAGAGGCGTCAAATGGAAGCTTCCCAGAAGCGAGTACCCAAGCCAGGGGCGGCTGGAGAGGCACAGCATGGCGCGCCGCTCCCTCAGCTGGGCACCGAAAAGTTTCGGCGCGCGCAGCCCGAGGAAGCGCGTGCGCGAGTCGGAAAGCTGCCCGGAATTCTTATCCACTTCTGTTCGCAGCAACACACCGTTCTGCAGGCCGGCGTTGAGGAAGAGGCTGGACGGCACGTGGGCGGCAGCAGCGGAGGAGGAGGAGGCAGCGGTGGAGGAGGGGCCGTCCGTGCCGGGCCCGGTGGGGACGTCGAGAAAGAGAAGGGACTCCGGTGGGGCTGACACTGCCTGTACGCTCAGCACCTGGTGGGCGGCGAAGGGAGAGAGGGAGATGCATGGAGGGCAGTGCACGGAGGGAGAGCAGGACAAGAGAATTTTAAAGTATGGCAGTGGTGGAGGAGGGGCTGTCTGAACCGGGCCCACTGGGGGCGTATTTTCGAGTCGACAAAAAAACGGACAAGAAAATTCTAGAGTATTGCAGTGGTGGAGGGACTGTTTGTACCGGGCCCGGTGGGGGCGTATGGGGGGAGGGCGATGGGTCTGGGGGAGCGATGGGGGGAGGGACAGCGTGAGATAAGGAGAGGGGAGAAAGAACCCGAAACCGCCAAACCTCCCAACCCCCAAACCCTGAACCCAGAGTTCTTCTCCCCCCTACTCACCTGCATGTTTTCATCCGGGTCCAGCGAAAGGATCCGGACCGTCGAGTCGTACGATCCGACGGCCAGGAAGCGCGCCCGCTGGCGGCCCTCGGGGATGGGGGCGACGTCAAGGCAGGCGACGTCCCCCGGCATGTCCTTCTTACCCATCTCCACCATCTGCCCCCTCACGTCCATCTCGAAATGCACCAACTCGCCTCCTGACAGGGCGATTACCACCTAGGGAAGGTGGGGTGAGAAGATGGAGAGTATAGGAATGAGCAAGGTGAGAATGAACAGAAATTGACACCTCTTGTCACCTCCAAGCGGTCACATCACATACACTGCAAATCACCAGGAGACGGTTCAATCTATGCAGCTTTCAATCTAAGGTGGGCTCACCTGGAAGCGGTTGCAGCCGACTTTGGCTCACCTGAAAGCGGTTGCAGCCGACTTTGGCTCACCTGAAATAACCAGGCGACTGACCTGGAAGCGGTTGCAGCCGACTTTGACGATGCTCTTCTTGCCGGGCGTCTTCCACTCGTTGATACGCCCGTCCGCCCTGATGTGCCGAATGCCGCTTGGGTGCACCTGCGATGTGTAATGGGATCGTGGCATGCAGCAGAGAGGGACAAGGGTAAAAAAGGGGCCTTCGACTAGTTGATACGCCCGTCCGCCCCGATTGTGTCGAGTTGAAGCTTTCGCTCATGCACGCAGATCTCATGTTCTGGCAATCCAAACAATGCACACTCTGCTAGTACCTCTGTTTTCCTGTGTCTGTGTGTGTAAGTGGGACGGGAAATGGGGGAGGAGGGTAGAGTGTATGCACCATCACATGCGCAGGTGCATCCGATTGGCATCCGATTGGCATCCGATTGGCACTCACAGCAAACCACCCTGCCCCCATCAGCTTACCTGCATCGACACAACCCCACCCTGCCTACCGCTCAGCCACCCCGCTTGCCTCCATTACAACAGCCCACCCTGCCTGTCAACATCCCACCAACGCACCTGCATGAGCGAGTCCTCTCCCAAGAGAGACACGGCGAGCGAGGGCGTGGTGTCCAGGAAACCGGAATCGCTAACTTCCTCAACCGTGTCGCCGATACTCAGCACAAGGGTCGCGTTCACAAATGACACCACGATGTACGCGTCAAACTCGTCCTGGGCGCTCTTGCGCACCGTCCACACCGCACTCGGCACGCCTGGTAACTGCGTTACCGCCATCTCCGTGACTGCCAGCCCCGGGCGCAGGATGCGCAGGGAGGAGCGCGGGCCGCGGCCGCACAGCGCGAAGACCTGCGGTGTCTCCTCGTCGAAAAGGTTCGAGACCTTGAGGTCGAGCAGAGGCATCAGCGACTCCACCTCGTCGATCTGCGGTGAGAGAGGGGAGGAGGGAGCATTGGTTGGAGAGGGGTGAGAGGGAAAATGCAGGGGCTTAGTGAGGGGCGAAGACCTGCGGAGTCTCCTCGTCGAATAGGTTTGATACCTTGAGGTCGAGGAGAGGCATCAGCGACTCAACCTCGTCACTTTGAAGCGAGTGAAGGGGAGGGGGGAAAATGCGGGCGAGACCGTGTGCATGCCAACCTGAAACGCAATGCACCTCTGTCCTTCCGCTCAAAACCCAACCCAATATCCCACACACTGCCCCTTCCCTTCACTGACCTGAACCAGGTTCTTGAGGCGGCGCGGGTGGAAGAAGACGGGTTGAAACCCCTCGTCGGTCTCCATGAGCGTGGCGGAGCTCGACTCCACCTCCTCGTCGTCCCCGATGGCCCGAACTGAGGGATGAACACCATCCGCATCCCCCCACCTGATACACAATGCACCTCTGACTCTCCTCCTCCAACCCAATTCCCCACACCCTGCCCCTCATACTTGCGCTGACCTGCACGAGGTTCTTAAGGCGGCGAGGGTGAAAGAAGACAGGCTGGAACCCCTCGTTCGTCTCCACGAGCGTCGCGGAGCTCGACTCCACCTCCTCGTCATCCCCGATGCCCTGGAACCGGTACAGCGCTGCCTTTTGACTCAACTTAACAACTGACCTGAACTAGATTCTTGAGGCGGCGCGGGTGGAAGAAAACAGGCTGGAACCCTTCATCCGTCTCCATGAGCGTGGCGGAGCTCGACTCCACCTCCTCGTCGTCCCCGATGCCCTGGAACCGGTACAGCGCGTGGTTGCCGAACTCCGACGCCGCGAACAGGAACCCCGCGCGCAGCACGCACAGCCCCGCGCCCACGGGGATCGTGTCGAAGTACTTAATCTTCAGCTCCGTCACGCGGTCCGTGTCTTTAGGGTCGTGCTCTAGGGTAACCCGAAACACGTCGCCGTATTCGGATTGGAGCAGGAAGAAGTACATCGACTTCTGCTTGTGCGTCGCGGCGGCGACGATCAGCACGCCGCGCTCGGCCGGCAGGTCGGCGCGGCGCGGGATGACGGCGCGCACGTCCGGGTGGCCCTGGTTCTTGTAGATCACGAAATTCTCCGCGCACACCAGCACGCCGGACGGCCCGTCCGCGCCGCCGGGGACCGCGACGAGGAGATTCGCGCCGTTGTCGACGGGCTCGGCCCATTTCCGCACGACGTGGTTCAGACCCAGATCAAGCTCGTAGAAAGTTAGCTGCTTCTGCGCGTCTGCCGCTGCTTGCCCTGACGGGTCCTGATCGGCATCGGCGTAATCGAGCTCTATGGCGGCGAAAATGGGGTTGTCGAATCCGCAGTCCACGCCGACGACGGAGAAGACTAGGGTTTGCGACTTGTGCGCTTCTAACGGGGATGAGATCGTGAGGCGCGCCGAGCTGTCGCGGTTCAGAACGTACACGAACTTCTGCTTCTCGCAGGCTGCGATCATGACCGCTCGTCCTTTCGGATCCACGGCCAGGAATTGACCAGGGACGATCCGGCGACATCCCGACTTGCCATACGTCTCCTGGTGGATTTTATCGAAGAGATTCTTCTCTCTATTGTACTCCAGAATAACGATTCGACCAGAATCAGATCCCACGACAATAAGGTCCTTAGAGGAGCCAGTGAGGCGGAATTGGACGAGCGAGCGAATCTCGCCAAAGACTTCTACCGCGTACAGGCTCTGCAGCTTTCCCGCGGCATCTGGCCGTAACAGCTCGAGAATCTTCCCTCTCGCGACCACTATCTCCTGCTCCTTCGTCCCTGAGAAGTTGCCGAATATCACGTGACTGATGCCCGTCGCCCGCTGAAGCGTAAGATTATATAGATACATGGCTTCGGCGGCCTAGGGACATGAGACGGAAAATGCGGTCCCGAAAATGCAAAGAAAAGGCTATCTCGAGTACAGCAAAATCTGTAGATATCTTATAATATCTTTTCATATTTCCTCGATATCGTAGCCGCGTAGCGCAGTGGATTAGCGCGTTAGACTTCGGATCCAAAGGTCGCGGGTTCGATCCCCGTCGTGGTTGGAATTTTTCTTGGCAGTGGTTTCGCTGTGTGCAACACTTCCTTGGGATTGAATTCCTCTGCCTGTTCCAGGCACGCGCCACGCTTTACCGAACCCAACTTCTCCCAACCCAACCCAACCCAACCCAACCCAACCCAACCCAACTCAACCCTTGCTCCTCGCGAATCCGAGTTGACTTCTTTATTTTCCTTGGGATCACCTCCCATTGTCTCTTGGGAAAATCGTCACTTGCTCATTGTCAGTCCGCCTAGCCGTTGCGCCTCGACGTTGTAGTGTCGGCCTGCCCTGTAAGGCTTGCCGCGCTGGACGGACGGCATGAGTCTCGTCAGGATGCCACCCACTCGAGGTACGTAGGTTTCTTTTAGGTTCATAGTAGGTCGGTAGGTACTACTCTCAAAGCTGGTGAATCCAGATTCTTCCTGATAGTGCGTTGGTGGTCTCATTGCTCGACGATAAGGCTCTCTCTATCGTAGCGAAGGAGCAAACCATCGTGACCGTTAGATTCATCTTCCTGGGCTTCGCGGAAAGCGGTTCGGGATCTCATCAGTTTAGCGATAGAGTCTTCCCACCCCTGTAGCGATCAGCCTTACTACCGTCGCTTCGACTCTTAGTGACCCATTTTCGTTCGCCATCAATCCAGCCACTGACACCTTGTTGGTCGATCCTGTTTCAGATGAGTTCGAGGGGGAAGACGAGACGCTAGGACTGCGATCCGGTCAGGTAAGTCGAGCATCTGAGAAGGGTAAATCAGCGCACGTATTCACGTCAATGTCGAGCTTCCATCTTTGCTAACCTTCTCGCATTCTTCATTCATTCGTACGCAAATATCCGCTAACCTTCATTCTCCTCGCGCTCTCTCTATTTCCGCAGCCGACCGATCAGCGCGGGCCGCTGTGCTCGTACGTGGCGGCGACGGCGCTGCTGCTGCTGGGGTGCGGGCTGGGGCTCGGAATCAGCGCGCTGCTGTCGCTGCTCTTCCCCGCCACCTCCCTCCGCTTCATCTCCGCCAACGCTCCCCCTGACGCGCTCGCGGACGCTCAGTCGCAACTGTCGTTCCTGGTCGTGGGCGACTGGGGTCGCAACGGCGACTACAATCAGTCCATTGTCGCGGAATCGGTATGTGCGTACACCCAGCAAACCACTTGGGACGCACGAACACCCAGGAAGTCGCTGACTAGGGTTGTATGATGCTGGTTTCTCCTGTACCTTGAATAAGTGAGATGACTTCTGAGGCGCCTCAAAAGGGACGCAGCTGGCCGTGACATATATCTTGCTTTTCTCACCCCGTACATCAGATGGGCGAGGTGGCAGCAGCCATAGACAGCAGCTTCGTGGTGTCGACAGGAGACAACTTCTATGGTGTAATCCGGGGGTGAACCTAATCCGGGGGTGAACCTAATCCGGGGGTGAACCTAATCCGGGGGTGAACCTTAATCCGGGGGTGAACCTAATCCGGGGGTGAACCTAATCCGGGGGTGAACCTAATCCGGGGGTGAACCTAATCCGGGCGGGGGTGAACCTAATCCGGGCGGGGGTGAACCTAATCCGGGCGGGGGTGAACCTAATCCGGGCGGGGGTGAACCTAATCCGGGCGGGGGTGAACCTAATCCGGGCGGGGGTGAACCTAATCCGGGGGTGAACCTAATCCGGGGGTGAACCTAATCCGGGGGTGAACCTAATCCGGGGGTGAACCTAATCCGGGGGTGAGCCTAATCCGGGGGTGAGCCTAATCCGGGGGTGAGCCTAATCCGGGGGTGAACCTAATCCGGGGGTGAACCTAATCCGGGGGTGAACCTAATCCGGGGGTGAACCTAATCCGGGGGTGAACCTAATCCGGGGGTGAACCTAATCCGTCCGGGGGTGAACCTTATCCGGGGGTGAACCTAATCCGGGGGTGAACCTAATCCGGGGGTGAACCTTATCCGGGGGTGAACCTAATCCGGGGGTGAACCTAATCCGGGGGTGAGCCTAATCCGGGGGTGAACCTAATCCGGGGGTGAACCTAAATCCGGGGGTGAACCTAATCCGGGGGTGAACCTAATCCGGGGGTGAACCTAATCCGGGGGTGAACCTAATCCGGGGGTGAGCCTAATCCGGGGGTGAACCTAATCCGGGGGTGAACCTAAATCCGGGGGTGAACCTAATCCGGGGGTGAACCTAATCCGGGGGTGAACCTAATCCGGGGGTGAACCTAAATCCGGGGGTGAACCTAATCCGGGGGTGAACCTAATCCGGGGGTGAACCTAATCCGGGGGTGAACCTAAATCCGGGGGTGAACCTAATCCGGGGGTGAACCTAATCCGTCCGGGGGTGAACCTAATCCGTCCGGGGGTGAACCTAATCCGGGGGTGAACCTAATCCGGGGGTGAACCTAATCCGGGGGTGAACCTAATCCGGGGGTGAACCTAATCCGGGGGTGAGCCTATCCCGGGGGTGAACCTAATCCGGGGGTGAACCTAATCCGGGGGTGAACCTAATCCGGGGGTGAACCTAATCCGGGGGTGAACCTAATCCGGGGGTGAACCTAATCCGTCCGGGGGTGAACCTAATCCGGGGGTGAACCTAATCCGGGGGTGAACCTAATCCGTCCGGGGGTGAACCTAATCCGTCCGGGGGTGAACCTAGTCCGGGGGTGAACCTAATCCGTCCGGGGGTGAACCTAGTCCGGGGGTGAACCTAGTCCGGGGGTGAACCTAATCCGGGGGTGAACCTAATCCGGGGGTGAACCTAATCCGTCCGGGGGTGAACCTAATCCGTCCGGGGGTGAACCTAATCCGTCCGGGGGTGAACCTAATCCGTCCGGGGGTGAACCTAATCCGTCCGGGGGTGAACCTAATCCGTCCGGGGGTGAACCTAATCCGTCCGGGGGTGAACCTAATCCGTCCGGGGGTGAACCTAATCCATCCGGGGGTGAACCTAATCCGTCCGGGGGTGAACCTAATCCATCCGGGGGTGAACCTAAATCCGGGGGTGAACCTAATCCGGGGGTGAACCTAATCCATCCGGGGGTGAACCTAATCCGGGGGTGAACCTAATCCGGGGGTGAACCTAATCCGGGGGTGAACCTAGTCCGGGGGTGAACCTAATCCGTCCGGGGGTGAACCTAGTCCGGGGGTGAACCTAATCCGTCCGGGGGTGAACCTAGTCCGGGGGTGAACCTAATCCGTCCGGGGGTGAACCTAATCCGGGGGTGAACCTAATCCGGGGGTGAACCTAATCCGTCCGGGGGTGAACCTAATCCATCCGGGAGTGAACCTCATCCGGGGGTGAACCTAATCCGTCCGGGGGTGAACCTAATCCGGGGGTGAACCTCATCCGGGGGTGAACCTAATCCGGGGGTGAACCTAATCCGTCCGGGGGTGTGAACCTCATCCGTCCGGGGGTGAACCTAATCCGGGGGTGAACCTAATCCGGGGGTGAACCTAATCCGGGGGTGAACCTAATCCGGGGGTGTGAACCTAATCCGGGGGTGAACCTAATCCGGGGGTGAACCTAATCCGTCCGGGGGTGAACCTAATCCGGGGGTGAACCTAATCCGGGGGTGAACCTAATCCGGGGGTGAACCTAATCCGGGGGTGAACCTAATCCGGGGGTGAACCTAATCCGGGGGTGAACCTAATCCGTCCGGGGGTGAACCTAATCCGGGGGTGAACCTTAATCCGGGAGTGAACCTCATCCGGGGGTGAACCTTAATCCGGGGGTGAACCCAATCCGGGGGTGAACCTTAATCCGGGGGTGAACCTAATCCGGGGGTGAACCTTAATCCGGGAGTGAACCTCATCCGGGGGTGAACCTAATCCGTCCGGGGGTGAACCTAATCCGGGGGTGAACCTAATCCATCCGGGGGTGAACCTAATCCGGGGGTGAACCTAATCCATCCGGGGGTGTGAACCTCATCCGTCCGGGGGTGAACCTAATCCGGGGGTGAACCTAATCCGGGGGTGAACCTAATCCGGGGGTGAACCTAATCCGGGGGTGTGAACCTAATCCATCCGGGGGTGAACCTAATCCGTCCGGGGGTGAACCTAATCCGGGGGTGAACCTAATCCGTCCGGGGGTGAACCTAATCCGGGGGTGAACCTAATCCGTCCGGGGGTGAACCTAATCCGGGGGTGAACCTAATCCGGGGGTGAACCTAATCCGGGGGTGAACCTAATCCGGGGGTGAACCTAATCCGTCCGGGGGTGAACCTAATCCGGGGGTGAACCTTAATCCGGGAGTGAACCTCATCCGGGGGTGAACCTTAATCCGGGGGTGAACCCAATCCGGGGGTGAACCTTAATCCGGGGGTGAACCTAATCCGGGGGTGAACCTTAATCCGGGAGTGAACCTCATCCGGGGGTGAACCTAATCCGTCCGGGGGTGAACCTAATCCGGGGGTGAACCTAATCCATCCGGGGGTGAACCTAATCCGGGGGTGAACCTAATCCATCCGGGGGTGAACCTAATCCGGGGGTGAACCTAATCCGGGGGTGAACCTAATCCGGGGGTGAACCTAAATCCGGGGGTGAACCTAATCCGGGGGTGAACCTAATCCATCCGGGGGTGAACCTAATCCGTCCGGGGGTGAACCTAATCCATCCGGGGGTGAACCTAATCCGTCCGGGGGTGAACCTAATCCGTCCGGGGGTGAACCTAATCCGTCCGGGGGTGAACCTAATCCGGGGGTGAACCTAATCCGTCCGGGGGTGAACCTAATCCATCCGGGGGTGAACCTAATCCGGGGGTGAACCTCATCCGGGGGTGAACCTAATCCGGGGGTGAACCTAATCCGTCCGGGGGTGTGAACCTCATCCGTCCGGGGGTGAACCTAATCCGGGGGTGAACCTAATCCGGGGGTGAACCTAATCCGGGGGTGAACCTAATCCGGGGGTGTGAACCTAATCCGGGGGTGAACCTAATCCGGGGGTGAACCTAATCCGTCCGGGGGTGAACCTAATCCGGGGGTGAACCTAATCCGGGGGTGAACCTAATCCGGGGGTGAACCTAATCCGTCCGGGGGTGAACCTAATCCGGGGGTGAACCTTAATCCGGGAGTGAACCTCATCCGGGGGTGAACCTTAATCCGGGGGTGAACCCAATCCGGGGGTGAACCTTAATCCGGGGGTGAACCTAATCCGGGGGTGAACCTTAATCCGGGAGTGAACCTCATCCGGGGGTGAACCTAATCCGTCCGGGGGTGAACCTAATCCGGGGGTGAACCTAATCCGGGGGTGAACCTAATCTGGGGGTGAACCTAATCCGGGGGTGAACCTAATCCGGGGGTGAACCTAATCCGTCCGGGGGTGAACCTAATCCGTCCGAGGGTGAACCTAATCCGGGGGTGAACCTTAATCCGGGGGTGAACCTAATCCGGGGGTGAACCTAATCCGGGGGTGTGAACCTAATCCGGGGGTGAACCTAATCCGTCCGGGGGTGAACCTAATCCGTCCGGGGGTGAACCTAATCCGGGGGTGAACCTTAATCCGGGGGTGAACCTAATCCGGGGGTGAACCTAATCCGGGGGTGTGAACCTAATCCGTCCGGGGGTGAACCTAATCCGGGGGTGAACCTAATCCGGGGGTGAACCTAATCCGGGGGTGAACCTAATCCGTCCGGGGGTGAACCTAATCCGGGGGTGAACCTAATCCGGGGGTGAACCTAATCCGGGGGTGAACCTTATCCGGAGGTGAACCTAATCCGGGGGTGAACCTTAATCCGGGAGTGAACCTCATCCGGGGGTGAACCTTAATCCGGGGGTGAACCTAATCCGGGGGTGAACCTTAATCCGGGGGTGAACCTAATCCGTCCGGGGGTGAACCTAATCCGGGGGTGAACCTTAATCCGGGAGTGAACCTCATCCGGGGGTGAACCTTAATCCGGGGGTGAACCTAATCCGGGGGTGAACCTTAATCCGGGGGTGAACCTAATCCGGGGGTGAACCTAATCCGGGGGTGAACTTAATCCGGGGGTGAACCTTAATCCGGGGGTGAACCTCATCCGGGGGTGAACCTTAATCCGGGGGTGAACCTAATCCGTCCGGGGGTGAACCTAATCCGTCCGGGGGTGAACCTCATCCGGGGGTGAACCTAATCCGGGGGTGAACCTAATCCGGGGGTGAACCTAATCCGTCCGGGGGTGAACCTAATCCGTCCGGGGGTGAACCTCATCCGGGGGTGAACCTTAATCCGGGGGTGAACCTAATCCGGGGGTGAACCTAATCCGGGGGTGTGAACCTAATCCGGGGGTGAACCTAATCCGTCCGGGGGTGAACCTAATCCGTCCGGGGGTGAACCTCATCCGGGGGTGAACCTAATCCGGGGGTGAACCTAATCCGGGGGTGAACCTTAATCCGGGGGTGAACCTAATCCGGGGGTGAACCTAATCCGGGGGTGTGAACCTAATCCGTCCGGGGGTGAACCTAATCCGGGGGTGAACCTAATCCGGGGGTGAACCTAATCCGGGGGTGAACCTAATCCGGGGGTGAACCTAATCCGTCCGGGGGTGAACCTAATCCGGGGGTGAACCTAATCCGTCCGGGGGTGAACCTAATCCGGGGGTGAACCTAATCCGGGGGTGAACCTAATCCGGGGGTGAACCTTATCCGGAGGTGAACCTAATCCGGGGGTGAACCTTAATCCGGGAGTGAACCTCATCCGGGGGTGAACCTTAATCCGGGGGTGAACCTAATCCGGGGGTGAACCTTAATCCGGGGGTGAACCTAATCCGTCCGGGGGTGAACCTAATCCGGGGGTGAACCTTAATCCAGGAGTGAACCTCATCCGGGGGTGAACCTTAATCCGGGGGTGAACCTAATCCGGGGGTGAACCTTAATCCGGGGGTGAACCTAATCCGGGGGTGAACCTAATCCGGGGGTGAACTTAATCCGGGGGTGAACCTTAATCCGGGGGTGAACCTCATCCGGGGGTGAACCTTAATCCGGGGGTGAACCTAATCCGTCCGGGGGTGAACCTAATCCGTCCGGGGGTGAACCTCATCCGGGGGTGAACCTAATCCGGGGGTGAACCTAATCCGGGGGTGAACCTAATCCGTCCGGGGGTGAACCTAATCCGTCCGGGGGTGAACCTCATCCGGGGGTGAACCTTAATCCGGGGGTGAACCTAATCCGGGGGTGAACCTAATCCGGGGGTGTGAACCTAATCCGGGGGTGAACCTAATCCGTCCGGGGGTGAACCTAATCCGTCCGGGGGTGAACCTCATCCGGGGGTGAACCTAATCCGGGGGTGAACCTAATCCGGGGGTGAACCTAGTCCGGGGGTGAACCTAATCCGTCCGGGGGTGAACCTAATCCGGGGGTGAACCTAATCCGGGGGTGAACCTAATCCGGGGGTGAACCTAATCCGGGGGTGAACCTAATCCGGGGGTGAACCTAATCCGGGGGTGAACCTAATCCGGGGGTGAACCTAATCCGGGGGTGAACCTTAATCCGGGGGTGAACCTAATCCGGGGGTGAACCTTAATCCGGGGGTGAACCTAATCCGTCCGGGGGTGAACCTAATCCGGGGGTGAACCTTAATCCGGGGGTGTGAACCTCATCCGGGGGTGAACCTAATCCGGGGGTGAACCTAATCCGGGGGTGAACCTAATCCGGGGGTGAACCTAATCGGGGGGTGAACCTTAATCCGGGGGTGAACCTAATCCGTCCGGGGGTGAACCTAATCCGGGGGTGAACCTAATCCGGGGGTGAACCTAATCCGTCCGGGGGTGAACCTAATCCGGGGGTGAACCTAATCCGGGGGTGAACCTTAATCCGGGGGTGAACCTAATCCGGGGGTGAACCTAATCCGGGGGTGAACCTAATCCGGGGGTGAACCTAATCCGGGGGTGAACCTTAATCCGGGGGTGAACTTAATCCGGGGGTGAACCTTAATCCGGGGGTGAACCTAATCCGGAGGTGAACCTAATCCGGGGGTGAACCTTAATCCGGGGGGTGAACCTAATCCGGGGGTGAACCTTAATCCGGGGGTGAACCTAATCCGGGGGTGAACCTTTATCCGGGGGTGAACCTTAATCCGGGGGTGAACCTAATCCGGGGGTGAACCTTATCCGGGGGTGAACCTAATCCAGGGGTGAACCTAATCCGGGGGTGAACCTTAATCCGGGGGTGAACCTTATCCGGGGGTGAACCTTAATCCGGGGGTGAACCTAATCCGGCGGTGAACCTAATTCGGAGGTGAACCTAATCCGGGGGTGAACCTAATCCGGGGGTGAACCTAATCTGGGGGTGAACTTAATCCGGGGGTGAACCTTAATCCGGGGGTGAACCTTATCCGGGGGTGAACCTTTATCCGGGGGTGAACCTAATCCGGGGGTGAACCTAATTCGGAGGTGAACCTAATCCGGGGGTGAACCTAATCCGGGGGTGAACCTAATCTGGGGGTGAACTTAATCCGGGGGTGAACCTAATCCGGGGGTGAACCTAATTCGGGGGTGAACCTTTATCCGGGGGTGAACCTTTATCCGGGGGTGAACCTTATACCGGGGGTGAACCTAATTTTATGAGGATACGTCCTAGGTCAGGCATCGAACTTCCCGGTGCTTCCGCTTTTGGGAGGAATCCGATCTGTTACCATCGGGGGAAAGGGATTTGTTTTTTGTTCCGCATGGACGCCCGGTGCCGCCGGGAAGCAGGCTCCCTGGTGTCGAGGTTCGTCGAGATCCGGGATGGAGAGGACGTCGGGTGCCACCCCGCCGCCCAAACCGACCGTACTCGCGACTTTCTCGCTCCCGATCACTACTAGCCTTTGGGATGGCGGGCCTACTGAGCTAGTTTCGTGGGAGGGGGCTGCGACCTGATCTCCTGCAAGAGGAGCTCGCCCGGTCCCTCCGGTGCTGCGAGCAACACACGGAGAAAGCCGAGGGCGGTCGTTACGTCACTCGTTCTTAGGAGCGGTTGCCAAGGTCTGGGATCAACCGAGGCGGTGCTCCATGCCCGTCGGGGTGCGCCTTCCTTTCAGCACCACAACGAATCCATCGGTGCTCGAACGTTTTTCGAGCCACCGCACGCCCGCTTGCTCGCCGATCGCTCGCCAAAACGAACGACAAGGTCGCGGGGCACGGCCTGAGGTGGGGCTCGGCATTGTTCCGATGGGTTCTCCGACGAGGCCACGGGCTGGGACATCCGGCAGCCGGCTGAACGCCGGTCGTCATCCTTCCAAGCCCTCGAGCGTGCTCTGAGCATCTCGCCTCTTCCGAGGAGGAGACGAGAAGCCCGGCCGTCTCTCTCCGGGGGTGAACCTTAATCCGGGGGTGAACCTAATCCGGGGGTGAACCTAATCCGGGGGTGAACCTAATCCGGGGGTGAACCTAATCCGGGGGTGAACCTTATCCGGGGGTGAACCTAATCCGGGGGTGAACCTTTATCCGGGGGTGAACCTTAATCCGGGGGTGAACCTAATCCGGGGGTGAACCTTATCCGGGGGTGAACCTAATCTGGGGGTGAACCTAATCCGGGGGTGAACCTTAATCCGGGGGTGAACCTTATCCGGGGGTGAACCTTAATCCGGGGGTGAACCTAATCCGGGGGTGAACCTAATTCGGAGGTGAACCTAATCCGGGGGTGAACCTAATCCGGGGGTGAACCTAATCTGGGGGTGAACTTAATCCGGGGGTGAACCTAATCCGGGGGTGAACCTAATTCGGGGGTGAACCTTTATCCGGGGGTGAACCTTTATCCGGGGGTGAACCTTATACCGGGGGTGAACCTAATCCGGGGGTGAACCTTAATCCAGGGGTGAACCTAGTCCGGGAGTGAACCTTAATCCAGGGGTGAACCTAGTCCGGGGGTGAACCTTAATCCGGTGGTGAACCTAATCCGGGGGTGAACCTTAATCCAGATGTGAACCTTAATCCGGGGGTGAACCTTAATCCGCGGGTGAACCTTAATCCGGGGGTGAACCTTAATCCGGGGGACGGATTGCAGGACATCAACGAATTTACCTTGTATTCGTCCTCTTCTCTCCTTATTGTATCATGCATCAGATGGGCGAGGTGGCAGCGGCCATAGACAGCAGCTTCGTGGTGTCGACGGGAGACAACTTTTACGATGATGGGATGCAGGACATCAACGATCCCACCTTCGCCTCCTCCTTCTCCGAGATCTACCAGGCGCCCAGCCTGCAGACCCAGTGGTACGCAGGTATGTCCCCTCCTTTTGCCTCCCTCTCTCCTGCTGCTGGCTCTGCTCTCTCCTGCTGCTGGCACTGCTGGGATGGGCAATCACGACTACCACCGCACCCAAGATGGGCTGCACGCATGCATTCCCCACCTTCGCCTCCTCCTTTCCGACATCTACCAGGCGCCCAGCCTGCACACGCACTGGCGCTCCTTAACGCCGGCAGCCAGGCGCTCACATCCCACACACACTCCCGCACTTTCCCTCCTTGTCATCGCACCCCAACCCCCCCTTTTTTCCCTGCAAACCAACACCTCCCTCCCCCCCTCGACCACCTTTCTCCCTCCGTGCCCCTGCCACCGGCAGTGCTGGGCAACCACGACTACCACCGCAATCCTGACGCGCAGACGGACCCGGCGCTGAGGCAGAGGGACCCGCGGTGGCGCTTCGAGAAGACCTACACTGTTGTGCGAGACACCTGCCCCAAGTTCCGCTACTGTGAGTCAGCCCTGCCTGCCCCAAGTTCCGCTACTGTGAGTCAGCCCTGCCTGCCCCAGGTTGACCTGGTCCACGAGCGCGCCTTGGTCCATGAGCGCGCCTTGGTCCACGAGCGCGCCTTGGTCCACGAGCGCGCCTTGGTCCACGAGCGCGCCTTGGTCCACGAGCGCGCCTTGGTCCACTAGCGCGCCTTGGTCCACGAGCGCGCCTTGGTCCACGAGCGCGTCTTGGTCCACAAGCGCGTCTTGGTCCACGAGCGCGCCTTGGTCCACTAGCGCGCCTTGGTCCACAAGCGCGCCTTGGTCCACAAGCGCGCCTTGGTCCACAAGCGCGCCTTGGTCCACGAGCGCGCCTTGGTCCACGAGCGCGCCTTGGTCCACGAGCGCGCCTTGGTCCACAAGCGCGCCTTGGTCCACAAGCGCGCCTTGGTCCACGAGCGCGCCTTGGTCCACGAGCGCGCCTTGGTCCACGAGCGCGCCTTGGTCCACGAGCGCGCCTTGGTCCACGAGCGCGCCTTGGTCCACGAGCGCGCCTTGGTCCACGAGCGCGCCTTGGTCCACGAGCGCGCCTTGGTCCACGAGCGCGCCTTGGTCCACGAGCGCGCCTTGGTCCACGAGCGCGCCTTGGTCCACGAGCGCGCCTTGGTCCACGAGCGCGTCTTGGTCCACCAGCGCGCCTTGGTCCACCAGCGCGCCTTGGTCCACAAGCGCGCCTTGGTCCACGAGCGCGCCTTGGTCCACGAGCGCGCCTTGGTCCACGAGCGCGCCTTGGTCCACGAGCGCGCCTTGGTCCACGAGCGCGCCTTGGTCCACGAGCGCGCCTTGGTCCACGAGCGCGCCTTGGTCCACGAGCGTGCTTGGTCCACGAGCGCGTCTTGGTCCACGAGCGCGCCTTGGTCCACGAGCGCGCCTTGGTCCACGAGCGCGCCTTGGTCCACAAGCGCGCCTTGGTCCACGAGCGCGCCTTGGTCCACGAGCGCGCCTTGGTCCACGAGCGCGCCTTGGTCCACGAGCGCGCCTTGGTCCACGAGCGCGCCTTGGTCCACGAGCGCGCCTTGGTCCACGAGCGCGCCTTGGTCCACGAGCGCGCCTTGGTCCACAAGCGCGCCTTGGTCCACGAGCGCGCCTTGGTCCACTAGCGCGCCTTGGTCCACAAGCGCGCCTTGGTCCACAAGCGCGCCTTGGTCCACGAGCGCGCCTTGGTCCACTAGCGCGCCTTGGTCCACGAGCGCGCCTTGGTCCACGAGCGCGCCTTGGTCCACGAGCGCGCCTTGGTCCACAAGCGCGCCTTGGTCCACGAGCGCGCCTTGGTCCACGAGCGCGCCTTGGTCCACAAGCGCGCTTTGGTCCACGAGCGCGCCTTGGTCCACGAGCGCGCCTTGGTCCACGAGCGCGCCTTGGTCCACGAGCGCGCCTTGGTCCAGGAGCGCGCCTTGGTCCACGAGCGCGCCTTGGTCCACGAGCGCGCCTTGGTCCACGAGCGCGCCTTGGTCCACGAGCGCGCCTTGGTCCACGAGCGCGCCTTGGTCCACGAGCGGGTCTTGGTCCACGAGCGCGCCTTGGTCCGCGAGCGCGCCTTGGTCCACAAGCGCGCCTTGGTCCACAAGCGCGCCTTGGTCCACAAGCGCGCCTTGGTCCACAAGCGCGCCTTGGTCCACAAGCGCGCCTTGGTCGACGAGCGCGCCTTGGTCGACGAGCGCGCCTTGGTCCACGAGCGCGCCTTGGTCCAGGAGCGCGCCTTGGTCCAGGAGCGCGCCTTGGTCCAGGAGCGCGCCTTGGTCCAGGAGCGCGCCTTGGTCCAGGAGCGCGCCTTGGTCCAGGAGCGCGCCTTGGTCCGGGAGCGCGCCTTGGTCCGGGAGCGCGCCTTGGTCCGGGAGCGCGCCTTGGTCCGGGAGCGCGCCTTGGTCCGGGAGCGCGCCTTGGTCCGGGAGCGCGCCTTGGTCCGGGAGCGCGCCTTGGTCCGGGAGCGCGCCTTGGTCCGGGAGCGCGCCTTGGTCCGGGAGCGCGCCTTGGTCCGGGAGCGCGCCTTGGTCCGGGAGCGCGCCTTGGTCCGGGAGCGCGCCTTGGTCCGGGAGCGCGCCTTGGTCCGGGAGCGCGCCTTGGTCCGGGAGCGCGCCTTGGTCCGGGAGCGCGCCTTGGTCCGGGAGCGCGCCTTGGTCCGGGAGCGCGCCTTGGTCCGGGAGCGCGCCTTGGTTCGGGAGAGCGCCTTGGTCCGGGAGCGCGCCTTGGTCCGGGAGCGCGCCTTGGTCCGGGAGCGCGCCTTGGTCCGGGAGCGCGCCTTGGTCCGGGAGCGCGCCTTGGTCCGGGAGCGCGCCTTGGTCCGGGAGCGCGCCTTGGTCCACGAGCGCGCCTTGGTCCACGAGCGCGCCTTGGTCCACGAGCGCGCCTTGGTCCACGAGCGCGCCTTGGTCCAGGAGCGCGCCTTGGTCCACGAGCGCGCCTTGGTCCACGAGCGCGCCTTGGTCCACGAGCGCGCCTTGGTCCACGAGCGCGCCTTGGTCCACGAGCGCGCCTTGGTCCACGAGCGCGCCTTGGTCCACGAGCGCGCCTTGGTCCACGAGCGCGCCTTGGTCCACGAGCGCGCCTTGGTCCACGAGCGCGCCTTGGTCCACGAGCGTGCCTTGGTCCGGGAGCGCGCCTTGGTCCGGGAGCGCGCCTTGGTCCGGGAGCGCGCCTTGGTCCACGAGCGCGCCTTGGTCCACGAGCGCGCCTTGGTCCACGAGCGCGCCTTGGTCCAGGAGCGCGCCTTGGTCCAGGAGCGCGCCTTGGTCCAGGAGCGCGCCTTGGTCCAGGAGCGCGCCTTGGTCCAGGAGCGCGCCTTGGTCCACGAGCGCGCCTTGGTCCACGAGGGCGCCTTGGTCCACGAGCGCGCCTTGGTCCACGAGCGCGCCTTGGTCCACGAGCGTGCCTTGGTCCACGAGCGCGCCTTGGTCCACGAGCGCGCCTTGGTCCACGAGCGCGCCTTGGTCCACGAGCGCGCCTTGGTTCACGAGCGCGCCTTGGTCCGAGCGCACGACCTGGCCCATGCGCGCGACCTGGTCTCCCTTTCTCCCCGGATCTCCCCTCCCCTCCATCCATCCCTCCCCCCCCCCCCCCGAAATGGCCCTCCCAGTCGAGTGCAACCCGCTGCTGCAGCTGTTCTTCATCGACACGTCCCCCCTGGTGGCGGGCTACTGGCACGGCAAGGCACACGAGTTTGAGAAGCTCAACTTCACAGGCCTCCCAGACGCCTCGCTCACCCTGCACTACCAGCTCACGGTGACTCTGCCTCTTCCTCTCTTCTGCCTTTTGAGATGTCTCAAAAGACGCCTCCCTCACCCTGCACTACCAGCTCACGGTGACTATTTTGAGACGTTTCAGAAGACGCCTCGCTCACCTTGCCTGCATGCACTACCAGCTCACTGTGCTGTCTGTCTGCCTCTTTATCTCCTCTTCTCATCTCCCATTCTCTCCTTGATTGTTCAAGTATACTGCTTGTCGCCCATCCAACCTGCCTGCGCCTGCAAATCTTACCGGCCCCATGCATGCCCGTCTCACCTCTTCCATCCTGCCCCTCCCTCCGTCCATCCTCAGTTGCTGCGTGCAGCGCTGGCGTCATCAACTGCCACGTGGAAGGTGGTGGTTGGCCATCATCCCATCCACAGCACGGGCAGCCACGGCAACACGCCAGAGCTGATCAAGTTCCTCTACCCGCTGCTCAAGGTGCTTCTCTCTCCCTGATTTTCATCTCCCCCTTGTTCCGCTGCCTCCTTCTACCTCAAACCTGCACGTCAAACCTGCACGTCAAACCTGCACCTCAAACCTGCACCTCAAACCTGCACCTCAAACCTGCACCTCAAACCTGCACCTCAAACCTGCACGTCAAACCTGCACGTCAAACCTGCACCTCAAACCTGCACCTCAAACCTGCACCTCAAACCTGCACCTCAAACCTGCACCTCAAACCTGCACCTCAAACCTGCACCTCAAACCTGCACGTCAAACCTGCACGTCAAACCTGCACGTCAAACCTGCACCTCAAACCTGCACGTCAAACCTGCACCTCAAACCTCCACCTCAAACCTCCACCTAAAAACGTGCACCTCAAACCTGCACCCCTCTCTTTGTGCATCCCTCACTTTGTGGTAGAAACCTATTGATGCTCTTTCTTCCCTCTGCTCCTCGTCTCCACGCCCCCTTGCCATCTCGCCGTATGTGAACTGCCTGTGTTACTGTCGAAATACTAAAAGCAGCTGACCTTGCCTCTCCTCCCTTTGCGATTCTCTCTACACCTCCTTGTGTGTTCATTGTGTGCTCACTGTGCCTGTGCTGTGTGCCTGCTGTCCCTGCTGTGTCTGCACCACCTGCAGCGCTACAATGTGGACATATACATGAACGGCCACGATCATAACATGGAGCTATACAAAGACGTGAATAGGTGCGCTCTAATACATAATGTCGCAGCTCAATGTGAGTAGAGGGGATCAGGGACGGGGATTACTTGAGGACCCATCAGCACATTAAGCTTTGACTCAAATTCTATCCGTTTAAACACTTTCCATTCCATCCCCCATCCCCAATCTCCCGTTTTCCATCCCCCATCCCCAATCTCCCGTTTTCCATCCCCCATCCTCAATCTCCCGTTTTCCATCCCCCATCCCCAATCTCCCGTTTTCCATCCCCCCATCCCCAATCTCCCGTTTTCCATCCCCCATCCCCAATCTTCCGTTTTCCATCCCCCATCCTCAATCTCCCGTTTTCCATCCCCCATCCCCAATCTCCCGTTTTCCATCCCCCATCCCCAATCTCCCGTTTTCCATCCCCCATCCCCAATCTCCCATTTTCCATCCCCCATCCCCAATCTCCCGTTTTCCATCCCCCATCCCCAATCTCCCGTTTTCCATCCCCCATCCCCAATCTCCCGTTTTCCATCCCCCATCCCCAATCTCCCGTTTTCCATCCCCCATCCCCAATCTCCCGTTTTCCATCCCCCATCCCCAATCTCCCGTTTTCCATCCCCCATCCCCAATCTCCCGTTTTCCATCCCCCATCCCCAATCTCCCGTTTTCCATCCTCCATCCCCAATCTCCCGTTTTCCATCCCCCATCCCCAATCTCCCGTTTTCCATCCTCCATCCCCAATCTCCCGTTTTCCATCCCCCATCCCCAATCTCCCGTTTTCCATCCCCCATCCCCAATCTCCCGTTTTCCATCCCCCATCCCCAATCTCCCGTTTTTCATCCTCCATCCCCCATCTCCCGTTTTCCATCCCCCATCCCCAATCTCCCGTTTTCCATCCCCCGTCCCCAATCTCCCGTTTTCCATCCCCCGTCCCCAATCTCCCGTTCTCCATCCCCCATCCCCAATCTCCCGTTTTCCATCCCCCGTCCCCGATCTCCCGTTTTCCATCCCCCATCCCCAATCTCCCGTTTTCCATCCCCCATCCCCAATCTCCCGTTTTCCATCCCCCGTCCCCAATCTCCCGTTTTCCATCCCCCATCCCCAATCTCCCGTTTTCCATCCCCCATCCCCAATCTCCCGTTTTCCATCCCCCATCCCCGATCTCCCGTTTTCCATCCCCCGTCCCCGATCTCCCGTTTTCCATCCCCCGTCCCCGATCTCCCGTTTTCCATCCCCCGTCCCCGATCTCCCGTTTTCCATCCCCCATCCTCAATCTCCCGTTTCCATCCCCCGTCCCCAATCTCCCGTTTTCCATCCCCCATCCCCAATCTCCCGTTTTCCATCCCCCATCCCCAATCTCCCGTTTTCCATCCCCCGTCCCCAATCTCCCGTTTTCCATCCCCCGTCCCCGATCTCCCGTTTTCCATCCCCCGTCCCCGATCTCCCGTTTTCCATCCCCCATCCCCGATCTCCCGTTTTCCATCCCCCGTCCCCGATCTCCCGTTTTCCATCCCCCGTCCCCAATCTCCCGTTTTCCATCCCCCATCCCCAATCTCCCATTTTCCATCCCCCATCCCCAATCTCCCGTTTTCCATCCCCCATCCCCGATCTCCCGTTTTCCATCCCCCATCCTCAATCTCCCGTTTTCCATCCCCCATCCTCAATCTCCCGTTTTCCATCCCCCATCCCCAATCTCCCGTTTTCCATCCCCCATCCCCAATCTCCCGTTTTCCATCCCCCATCCCCAATCTCCCGTTTTCCATCCCCCATCCCCGATCTCCCGTTTTCCATCCCCCCCCAATCTCCCGTTTTCCATCCCCCATCCTCAATCTCCCGTTTTCCATCCCCCATCCCCAATCTCCCGTTTTCCATCCCCCCATCCCCAATCTCCCGTTTTCCATCCCCCATCCCCAATCTCCCGTTTTCCATCCCCCATCCCCAATCTCCCGTTTTCCATCCCCCATCCCCAATCTCCCGTTTTCCATCCCCCATCCCCAATCTCCCGTTTTCCATCCCCCATCCCCAATCTCCCGTTTTCCATCCCCCATCCCCAATCTCCCGTTTTCCATCCCCCATCCCCAATCTCCCGTTTTCCATCCCCCATCCCCAATCTCCCGTTTTCCATCCCCCATCCCCAATCTCCCGTTTTCCATCCCCCATCCCCAATCTCCTGTTTTCCATCCCCCATCCCCAATCTCCCGTTTTCCATCCCCCATCCCCAATCTCCCGTTTTCCATCCCCCATCCCCAATCTCCCGTTTTCCATCCCCCATCCCCAATCTCCCGTTTTCCATCCCCCATCCCCAATCTCCCGTTTTCCATCCCCCATCCCCAATCTCCCGTTTTCCATCCCCCATCCCCGATCTCCCGTTTTCCATCCCCCGTCCCCGATCTCCCGTTTTCCATCCCCCGTCCCCGATCTCCCGTTTTCCATCCCCCGTCCCCAATCTCCCATTTTCCATCCCCCATCCCCAATCTCCCGTTTCCATCCCCCGTCCCCAATCTCCCGTTTTCCATCCCCCATCCCCAATCTCCCGTTTTCCATCCCCCATCCCCAATCTCCCGTTTTCCATCCCCCGTCCCCAATCTCCCGTTTTCCATCCCCCGTCCCCGATCTCCCATTTTCCATCCCCCATCCCCGATCTCCCGTTTTCCATCCCCCATCCCCGATCTCCCGTTTTCCATCCCCCGTCCCCAATCTCCCGTTTTCCATCCCCCGTCCCCAATCTCCCGTTTTCCATCCCCCATCCCCAATCTCCCGTTTTCCATCCCCCGTCCCCAATCTCCCGTTTTCCATCCCCCGTCCCCAATCTCCCGTTTTCCATCCCCCATCCCCAATCTCCCGTTTTCCATCCCCCATCCTCAATCTCCCGTTTTCCATCCCCCATCCCCAATCTCCCGTTTTCCATCCCCCATCCCTAATCTCCCGTTTTCCATCCCCCATCCCCAATCTCCCGTTTTCCATCCCCCATCCCCAATCTCCCGTTTTCCATCCCCCATCCCCAATCTCCCGTTTTCCATCCCCCCATCCCCAATCTCCCGTTTTCCATCCCCCATCCTCAATCTCCCGTTTTCCATCCCCCATCCCCAATCTCCCGTTTTCCATCCCCCCATCCCCAATCTCCCGTTTTCCATCCCCCATCCCCAATCTCCCGTTTTCCATCCCCCATCCCCAATCTCCCGTTTTCCATCCCCCATCCCCAATCTCCCGTTTTCCATCCCCCATCCCCAATCTCCCGTTTTCCATCCCCCATCCCCAATCTCCCGTTTTCCATCCCCCATCCCCAATCTCCCGTTTTCCATCCCCCATCCCCAATCTCCCGTTTTCCATCCCCCATCCCCAATCTCCCGTTTTCCATCCCCCATCCCCAATCTCCCGTTTTCCATCCCCCATCCCCAATCTCCTGTTTTCCATCCCCCATCCCCAATCTCCCGTTTTCCATCCCCCATCCCCAATCTCCCGTTTTCCATCCCCCATCCCCAATCTCCCGTTTTCCATCCCCCATCCCCAATCTCCCGTTTTCCATCCCCCATCCCCAATCTCCCGTTTTCCATCCCCCATCCCCAATCTTCCGTTTTCCATCCCCCATCCTCAATCTCCCGTTTTCCATCCCCCATCCCCAATCTCCCGTTTTCCATCCCCCATCCCCAATCTCCCGTTTTTCATCCTCCATCCCCCATCTCCCGTTTTCCATCCCCCGTCCCCAATCTCCCGTTTTCCATCCCCCATCCCCAATCTCCCGTTTTCCATCCCCCGTCCCCAATCTCCCGTTTTCCATCCCCCGTCCCCAATCTCCCGTTTTCCATCCCCCATCCCCAATCTCCCGTTTTCCATCCCCCGTCCCCGATCTCCCGTTTTCCATCCCCCGTCCCCGATCTCCCGTTTTCCATCCACCATCCCCAATCTCCCGTTTTCCATCCCCCATCCCCAATCTTCCGTTTTCCATCCCCCATCCTCAATCTCCCGTTTTCCATCCCCCATCCCCAATCTCCCGTTTTCCATCCCCCATCCCCAATCTCCCGTTTTTCATCCTCCATCCCCCATCTCCCGTTTTCCATCCCCCGTCCCCAATCTCCCGTTTTCCATCCCCCATCCCCAATCTCCCGTTTTCCATCCCCCATCCCCGATCTCCCGTTTTCCATCCCTCGTCCCCGATCTCCCGTTTTCCATCCCCCGTCCCCAATCTCCCGTTTTCCATCCCCCATCCCCAATCTCCCGTTTCCATCCCCCGTCCCCAATCTCCCGTTTTCCATCCCCCATCCCCAATCTCCCGTTTTCCATCCCCCATCCCCAATCTCCCGTTTTCCATCCCCCGTCCCCAATCTCCCGTTTTCCATCCCCCATCCCCAATCTCCCGTTTTCCATCCCCCATCCCCAATCTCCCGTTTTCCATCCCCCATCCCCAATCTCCCGTTTTCCATCCCCCGTCCCCGATCTCCCATTTTCCATCCCCCATCCCCGATCTCCCGTTTTCCATCCCCCATCCCCGATCTCCCGTTTTCCATCCCCCGTCCCCAATCTCCCGTTTTCCATCCCCCGTCCCCAATCTCCCGTTTTCCATCCCCCATCCCCAATCTCCCGTTTTCCATCCCCCGTCCCCAATCTCCCGTTTTCCATCCCCCATCCCCAATCTCCCGTTTTCCATCCTCCATCCCCAATCTCCCGTTTTCCATCCCCCATCCCAAATCTCCCCTTTTCCATCCTCCATCCCCAATCTCCCGTTTTCCATCCCCCATCCCCAATCTCCCGTTTTCCATCCCCCATCCCCAATCTCCCGTTTTCCATCCCCCATCCCCAATCTCCTGTTTTTCATCCTCCATCCCCCATCTCCCGTTTTCCATCCCCCGTCCCCAATCTCCCGTTTTCCATCCCCCATCCCCAATCTCCCGTTTTCCATCCCCCGTCCCCAATCTCCCGTTTTCCATCCCCCGTCCCCAATCTCCCGTTTTCCATCCCCCATCCCCAATCTCCCGTTTTCCATCCCCCGTCCTTAATCTCCCGTTTTCCATCCCCCATCCCCGATCTCCCGTTTTCCATCCCCCGTCCCCGATCTCCCGTTTTCCATCCCCCGTCCCCAATCTCCCGTTTTCCATCCCCCATCCCCAATCTCCCGTTTCCATCCCCCGTCCCCAATCTCCCGTTTTCCATCCCCCATCCCCAATCTCCCGTTTTCCATCCCCCATCCCCAATCTCCCGTTTTCCATCCCCCGTCCCCAATCTCCTGTTTTCCATCCCCCGTCCCCGATCTCCCATTTTCCATCCCCCATCCCCGATCTCCCGTTTTCCATCCCCCGTCCCCAATCTCCCGTTTTCCATCCCCCGTCCCCAATCTCCCGTTTTCCATCCCCCGTCCCCAATCTCCCGTTTTCCATCCCCCATCCCCAATCTCCCGTTTTCCATCCCCCGTCCCCAATCTCCCGTTTTCCATCCCCCATCCCCAATCTCCCGTTTTCCATCCTCCATCCCCAATCTCCCGTTTTCCATCCCCCATCCCAAATCTCCCGTTTTCCATCCTCCATCCCCAATCTCCCGTTTTCCATCCCCCATCCCAAATCTCCCGTTTTCCATCCTCCATCCCCAATCTCCCGTTTTCCATCCCCCATCCCCAATCTCCCGTTTTCCATCCCCCATCCCCAATCTCCCGTTTTCCATCCCCCATCCCCAATCTCCTGTTTTTCATCCTCCATCCCCCATCTCCCGTTTTCCATCCCCCGTCCCCAATCTCCCGTTTTCCATCCCCCATCCCCAATCTCCCGTTTTCCATCCCCCGTCCCCAATCTCCCGTTTTCCATCCCCCGTCCCCAATCTCCCGTTTTCCATCCCCCATCCCCAATCTCCCGTTTTCCATCCCCCGTCCTTAATCTCCCGTTTTCCATCCCCCATCCCCGATCTCCCGTTTTCCATCCCCCGTCCCCGATCTCCCGTTTTCCATCCCCCGTCCCCAATCTCCCGTTTTCCATCCCCCATCCCCAATCTCCCGTTTCCATCCCCCGTCCCCAATCTCCCGTTTTCCATCCCCCATCCCCAATCTCCCGTTTTCCATCCCCCATCCCCAATCTCCCGTTTTCCATCCCCCGTCCCCAATCTCCCGTTTTCCATCCCCCGTCCCCGATCTCCCATTTTCCATCCCCCATCCCCGATCTCCCGTTTTCCATCCCCCGTCCCCAATCTCCCGTTTTCCATCCCCCGTCCCCAATCTCCCGTTTTCCATCCCCCGTCCCCAATCTCCCGTTTTCCATCCCCCATCCCCAATCTCCCGTTTTCCATCCCCCGTCCCCAATCTCCCGTTTTCCATCCCCCATCCCCAATCTCCCGTTTTCCATCCTCCATCCCCAATCTCCCGTTTTCCATCCCCCATCCCAAATCTCCCGTTTTCCATCCTCCATCCCCAATCTCCCGTTTTCCATCCCCCATCCCCAATCTCCCGTTTTCCATCCCCCATCCCCAATCTCCCGTTTTCCATCCCCCATCCCCAATCTCCTGTTTTTCATCCTCCATCCCCCATCTCCCGTTTTCCATCCCCCGTCCCCAATCTCCCGTTTTCCATCCCCCATCCCCAATCTCCCGTTTTCCATCCCCCGTCCCCAATCTCCCGTTTTCCATCCCCCGTCCCCAATCTCCCGTTTTCCATCCCCCATCCCCAATCTCCCGTTTTCCATCCCCCGTCCCCGATCTCCCGTTTTCCATCCCCCATCCCCAATCTCCCGTTTTCCATCCTCCATCCCCAATCTCCCGTTTTCCATCCCCCATCCCCAATCTCCCGTTTTCCATCCCCCGTCCCCAATCTCCCGTTTTCCATCCCCCATCCCCAATCTCCCGTTTTCCATCCCCCGTCCCCGATCTCCCGTTTTCCATCCCCCATCCCCAATCTCCCGTTTTCCCTCCCCCATCCCCAATCTCCCGTTTTCCATCCCCCATCCCCGATCTCCCGTTTTCCATCCCCCATCCCCGATCTCCCGTTTTCCATCCCCCATCCCTGATCTCCCGTTTTCCATCCCCCATCCCCGATCTCCCGTTTTCCATCCCCCATCCCCAATCTCCCGTTTTCCATCCCCCATCCCCAATCTCCCGTTTTCCATCCCCCATCCCCAATCTCCCGTTTTCCATCCCCCATCCCCAATCTCCCGTTTTCCATCCCCCATCTCCAATCTCCCGTTTTCCATCCCCCATCACCAATCTCCCGTTTTCCATCCCCCATCCCCGATCTCCCGTTTTCCATCCCCCGTCCCCGATCTCCCGTTTTCCATCCCCCGTCCCCGATCTCCCGTTTTCCATCCCCCGTCCCCAATCTCCCGTTTTCCATCCCCCATCCCCAATCTCCCGTTTCCATCCCCCGTCCCCAATCTCCCGTTTTCCATCCCCCATCCCCAATCTCCCGTTTTCCATCCCCCATCTCCAATCTCCCGTTTTCCATCCCCTGTCCCCAATCTCCCGTTTTCCATCCCCCGTCCCCGATCTTTCATTTTCCATCTCCCATCCCCGATCTCCCGTTTTCCATCCCCCATCCCCAATCTCCCGTTTTCCATCCCCCGTCCCCAATCTCCCGTTTTCCATCCCCCGACCCCAATCTCCCGTTTTCCATCCCCCATCCCCAATCTCCCGTTTTCCATCCCCCATCCTCAATCTCCCGTTTTCCATCCCCCATCCCCAATCTCCCGTTTTCCATCCCCCATCCCTAATCTCCCGTTTTCCATCCCCCATCCCCAATCTCCCGTTTTCCATCCCCCATCCCCAATCTCCCGTTTTCCATCCCCCGTCCCCAATCTCCCGTTTTCCATCCCCCATCCCCAATCTCCCGTTTTCCATCCCCCATCCTCAATCTCCCGTTTTCCATCCCCCATCCCCAATCTCCCGTTTTCCATCCCCCATCCCTAATCTCCCGTTTTCCATCCCCCATCCCCAATCTCCCGTTTTCCATCCCCCATCCCCAATCTCCCGTTTTCCATCCCCCATCCCTAATCTCCCGTTTTCCATCCCCCATCCCCAATCTCCCGTTTTCCATCCCCCATCCCCAATCTCCCGTTTTCCATCCCCCATCCCCGATCTCCCGTTTTCCATCCCCCATCCCCGATCTCCCGTTTTCCATCCCCCATCCCTGATCTCCCGTTTTCCATCCCCCATCCCCGATCTCCCGTTTTCCATCCCCCATCCCCAATCTCCCGTTTTCCATCCCCCATCCCCAATCTCCCGTTTTCCATCCCCCATCCCCAATCTCCCGTTTTCCATCCCCCATCCCCAATCTCCCGTTTTCCATCCCCCATCTCCAATCTCCCGTTTTCCATCCCCCATCACCAATCTCCCGTTTTCCATCCCCCATCCCCGATCTCCCGTTTTCCATCCCCCGTCCCCGATCTCCCGTTTTCCATCCCCCGTCCCCGATCTCCCGTTTTCCATCCCCCGTCCCCAATCTCCCGTTTCCATCCCCCATCCCCAATCTCCCGTTTTCCATCCCCCATCCCCAATCTCCCGTTTTCCATCCCCCATCCCCAATCTCCCGTTTTCCATCCCCCGTCCCCAATCTCCCGTTTTCCATCCCCCGTCCCCGATCTCCCATTTTCCATCCCCCATCCCCGATCTCCCGTTTTCCATCCCCCGTCCCCAATCTCCCGTTTTCCATCCCCCGTCCCCAATCTCCCTTTTTCCATCCCCCGTCCCCAATCTCCCGTTTTCCATCCCCCATCCCCAATCTCCCGTTTTCCATCCCCCGTCCCCAATCTCCCGTTTTCCATCCCCCATCCCCAATCTCCCGTTTTCCATCCTCCATCCCCAATCTCCCGTTTTCCATCCCCCATCCCAAATCTCCCGTTTTCCATCCTCCATCCCCAATCTCCCGTTTTCCATCCCCCATCCCCAATCTCCCGTTTTCCATCCCCCATCCCCAATCTCCCGTTTTCCATCCCCCATCCCCAATCTCCTGTTTTTCATCCTCCATCCCCCATCTCCCGTTTTCCATCCCCCGTCCCCAATCTCCCGTTTTCCATCCCCCATCCCCAATCTCCCGTTTTCCATCCCCCGTCCCCGATCTCCCGTTTTCCATCCCCCATCCCCAATCTCCCGTTTTCCATCCTCCATCCCCAATCTCCCGTTTTCCATCCCCCATCCCCAATCTCCCGTTTTCCATCCCCCGTCCCCAATCTCCCGTTTTCCATCCCCCATCCCCAATCTCCCGTTTTCCATCCCCCGTCCCCGATCTCCCGTTTTCCATCCCCCATCCCCAATCTCCCGTTTTCCATCCTCCATCCCCAATCTCCCGTTTTCCATCCCCCATCCCCAATCTCCCGTTTTCCATCCCCCGTCCCCAATCTCCCGTTTTCCATCCCCCATCCCCAATCTCCCGTTTTCCATCCCCCGTCCCCGATCTCCCGTTTTCCATCCCCCATCCCCAATCTCCCGTTTTCCATCCCCCATCCCCAATCTCCCGTTTTCCATCCCCCATCCCCAATCTCCCGTTTTCCATCCCCCATCCCCAATCTCCCGTTTTCCATCCCCCATCCCCAATCTCCCGTTTTCCATCCCCCGTCCCCGATCTCCCGTTTTCCATCCCCCATCCCCAATCTCCCGTTTTCCATCCCCCATCCCCAATCTCCCGTTTTCCATCCCCCATCCCCAATCTCCCGTTTTCCATCCCCCATCCCCAATCTCCCGTTTTCCATCCCCCATCTCCAATCTCCCGTTTTCCATCCCCCATCACCAATCTCCCGTTTTCCATCCCCCATCCCCGATCTCCCGTTTTCCATCCCCCGTCCCCGATCTCCCATTTTCCATCCCCCATCCCCGATCTCCCGTTTTCCATCCCCCGTCCCCAATCTCCCGTTTTCCATCCCCCATCCCCAATCTCCCTTTTTCCATCCCCCGTCCCCAATCTCCCGTTTTCCATCCCCCATCCCCAATCTCCCGTTTTCCATCCCCCGTCCCCAATCTCCCGTTTTCCATCCCCCATCCCCAATCTCCCGTTTTCCATCCTCCATCCCCAATCTCCCGTTTTCCATCCCCCATCCCAAATCTCCCGTTTTCCATCCTCCATCCCCAATCTCCCGTTTTCCATCCCCCATCCCCAATCTCCCGTTTTCCATCCCCCATCCCCAATCTCCCGTTTTCCATCCCCCATCCCCAATCTCCCGTTTTCCATCCCCCGTCCCCAATCTCCCGTTTTCCATCCCCCGTCCCCAATCTCCCGTTTTCCATCCCCCATCCCCAATCTCCCGTTTTCCATCCCCCGTCCCCGATCTCCCGTTTTCCATCCCCCATCCCCAATCTCCCGTTTTCCATCCTCCATCCCCAATCTCCCGTTTTCCATCCCCCATCCCCAATCTCCCGTTTTCCATCCCCCGTCCCCAATCTCCCGTTTTCCATCCCCCATCCCCAATCTCCCGTTTTCCATCCCCCGTCCCCGATCTCCCGTTTTCCATCCCCCATCCCCAATCTCCCGTTTTCCCTCCCCCATCCCCAATCTCCCGTTTTCCATCCCCCATCCCCGATCTCCCGTTTTCCATCCCCCATCCCCGATCTCCCGTTTTCCATCCCCCATCCCTGATCTCCCGTTTTCCATCCCCCATCCCCGATCTCCCGTTTTCCATCCCCCATCCCCAATCTCCCGTTTTCCATCCCCCATCCCCAATCTCCCGTTTTCCATCCCCCATCCCCAATCTCCCGTTTTCCATCCCCCATCCCCAATCTCCCGTTTTCCATCCCCCATCTCCAATCTCCCGTTTTCCATCCCCCATCACCAATCTCCCGTTTTCCATCCCCCATCCCCGATCTCCCGTTTTCCATCCCCCGTCCCCGATCTCCCGTTTTCCATCCCCCGTCCCCGATCTCCCGTTTTCCATCCCCCGTCCCCAATCTCCCGTTTTCCATCCCCCATCCCCAATCTCCCGTTTCCATCCCCCGTCCCCAATCTCCCGTTTTCCATCCCCCATCCCCAATCTCCCGTTTTCCATCCCCCATCCCCAATCTCCCGTTTTCCATCCCCCGTCCCCAATCTCCCGTTTTCCATCCCCCGTCCCCGATCTTTCATTTTCCATCCCCCATCCCCGATCTCCCGTTTTCCATCCCCCATCCCCAATCTCCCGTTTTCCATCCCCCGTCCCCAATCTCCCGTTTTCCATCCCCCGACCCCAATCTCCCGTTTTCCATCCCCCATCCTCAATCTCCCGTTTTCCATCCCCCATCCCCAATCTCCCGTTTTCCATCCCCCATCCCTAATCTCCCGTTTTCCATCCCCCATCCCCAATCTCCCGTTTTCCATCCCCCATCCCCAATCTCCCGTTTTCCATCCCCCGTCCCCAATCTCCCGTTTTCCATCCCCCATCCCCAATCTCCCGTTTTCCATCCCCCATCCTCAATCTCCCGTTTTCCATCCCCCATCCCCAATCTCCCGTTTTCCATCCCCCATCCCTAATCTCCCGTTTTCCATCCCCCATCCCCAATCTCCCGTTTTCCATCCCCCATCCCCAATCTCCCGTTTTCCATCCCCCATCCCTAATCTCCCGTTTTCCATCCCCCATCCCCAATCTCCCGTTTTCCATCCCCCATCCCCAATCTCCCGTTTTCCATCCCCCATCCCCGATCTCCCGTTTTCCATCCCCCATCCCCGATCTCCCGTTTTCCATCCCCCATCCCCGATCTCCCGTTTTCCATCCCCCATCCCCGATCTCCCGTTTTCCATCCCCCATCCCCAATCTCCCGTTTTCCATCCCCCATCCCCAATCTCCCGTTTTCCATCCCCCATCCCCAATCTCCCGTTTTCCATCCCCCATCCCCAATCTCCCGTTTTCCATCCCCCATCTCCAATCTCCCGTTTTCCATCCCCCATCACCAATCTCCCGTTTTCCATCCCCCATCCCCGATCTCCCGTTTTCCATCCCCCGTCCCCGATCTCCCGTTTTCCATCCCCCGTCCCCGATCTCCCGTTTTCCATCCCCCGTCCCCAATCTCCCGTTTCCATCCCCCATCCCCAATCTCCCGTTTTCCATCCCCCATCCCCAATCTCCCGTTTTCCATCCCCCATCCCCAATCTCCCGTTTTCCATCCCCCGTCCCCAATCTCCCGTTTTCCATCCCCCGTCCCCGATCTCCCGTTTTCCATCCCCCATCCCCGATCTCCCGTTTTCCATCCCCCGTCCCCAATCTCCCGTTTTCCATCCCCCGTCCCCAATCTCCCGTTTTCCATCCCCCGTCCCCAATCTCCCGTTTTCCATCCCCCATCCCCAATCTCCCGTTTTCCATCCCCCATCCTCAATCTCCCGTTTTCCATCCCCCATCCCCAATCTCCCGTTTTCCATCCCCCATCCCTAATCTCCCGTTTTCCATCCCCCATCCCCAATCTCCCGTTTTCCATCCCCCATCCCCAATCTCCCGTTTTCCATCCCCCGTCCCCAATCTCCCGTTTTCCATCCCCCATCCCCAATCTCCCGTTTTCCATCCCCCATCCTCAATCTCCCGTTTTCCATCCCCCATCCCCAATCTCCCGTTTTCCATCCCCCATCCCTAATCTCCCGTTTTCCATCCCCCATCCCCAATCTCCCGTTTTCCATCCCCCATCCCCAATCTCCCGTTTTCCATCCCCCATCCCCAATCTCCCGTTTTCCATCCCCCATCCCCAATCTCCCGTTTTCCATCCCCCATCCTCAATCTCCCGTTTTCCATCCCCCATCCCCAATCTCCTGTTTTCCATCCCCCATCCCTAATCTCCCGTTTTCCATCCCCCATCCCCAATCTCCCGTTTTCCATCCCCCATCCCCAATCTCCCGTTTTCCATCCCCCATCCCCAATCTCCCGTTTTCCATCCCCCATCCCCAATCTCCCGTTTTCCATCCCCCATCTCCAATCTCCCGTTTTCCATCCCCCATCACCAATCTCCCGTTTTCCATCCCC